AATGCACTTAGAATAGGCGTGAAGCATGTCTGCCCCGTTTCCCTTGCCATCACCAGAAGCCAGGAGTGATCGGTCCGCCATCCTGGACCGACTCTGCAAGCTTCTTGACCACGAAGCAGTGCACCAGATCCCTCGACGCAAGGGCATCTTCCAGACTGTCGTGACCGACCCTACCCTTTTGGATTTCACGACCAAGCATTTCGGATGTCAGTGCCTTGAGGGAGAGCCCGCCGGCCTTGCGCTTCTGGGGCTTCTTCTCGGCGAGACCTCCTCTCTCCTCGGTCTTTCCCAAGGATTCGGGCTTATCGAATGAGATGAGGTCTTCTTCCTCCAACTTGACGCCGCCTTCGGCGACGGCTTCGGCAGCAGCCTCAGCGGCAACTCTCTCGGCCTCCATATTGGCTCTCTCCTCCTCCTCCGCTTCCAGTCTGTCACACTCGGCCCGCACGTTAGTAGCGAGGATCAAGGAGTCCACCACTTTTGGATGAATCCAACGCAGTGATGCGAGGTCGTTGTGGACGGCGTGTCTGATGACAATGGTCTCGGCGCTCACCCACTCCCACACGGCGGCCCTGACGTTAGCCAGCCCGCCAGTGATACACTTGCCCTTTGATCGGGCAGCCTGCATGTCTTGGCGGGAGACACCGGAGAAGCGCGTGTTGTAGTGCGCCATGCGGACCTGCGGGTAGACGAGGCTGTCGAGGAGGATCTCTGATGTGAAGTAGTCGACGAGGGTGACGCGGATGAGCTCGGATTCACCGTCGTAGGCAACGCCCATTTCGCAGTCCATGGCGACGGCGCGACGCGGCGCCCTCTGAGCGGACGGCACGGTGTCAATTCCTAGGTCCAGGAGGGCGTGGGTCGGGGTCTTGTGGAATTGGTGACGGTCGTGAATTTCGCCCGATGGATAGTTCCGGACGATGTGCTCTGGAGCGTAGGTGCAGCCCGGCTCGGAAACGTGGACTCGGCAGCAGTTCCAGCGCTGTATGCGTCAGCTAGTTTTGACGAAGGGAGTAAAGATGAGGTATGAGGAAAGGTGGAAAGCTACCATGTTTATGACGCGGCCGGTGTGGTACTGACACTTGAGGACCGGCTTTGCGGGCTTCTCGTCCCCCTTTGCGCCCTCGGGCTCCTCGTCGGCCATGGACGAAGATCTGGTGAAAGTCTTGGTCTTGGGCTGGACGGATGAGGACTTTGCATCGGCTTGGGACCCCTTCCCATTCGATTTGAATTTGTTCCTGTTATTGGAGCCTGCCTTGGAGTCAGTATCGCGATGACGACGGTGAGGAGCGGCATGGGGTCTGGGCAGAAGGGAGGCCGATGGACAAATACTCACAGCGGAGGTTGCATCTGCGGCATCGTTTCTTATCGTCAATATCTCTCTCAGATAGTGGTTTGAGGATGAAGCCGCTCTTGATGAGGATGTCTTTCCGATGGGCCATTGATCGGAGGTGGTAGAGGTAGCTCTGGGTCGGCTCGATGACGACGGACCCATAAGGGTTCTGGGGTTGCTGGTAGAAAGCCATCTTGATTGATGGCACTGTCACCGACGATACCGTGCTGGCTTTTTGTTCACGGTGTTGAGGTCTGTAGAGGTATAGGGGATAATTATCGTTTGTGGCGGTTCATCGGGCTACGTCGATGAGTCGATGACGCCAAAGAATGATGATGAAAAAGATGCAGCGGTTGAGGCGGTGATGCATGAGCGTAGCCCAGACGCGACTCCCAGACTTTGAAAAATCAAGAAGAACCAGTTGCCTCCTGCAGCTTGAGGAGGAACAAAGTATTCAGAAGGCAGAAGGTGAGATCTCGATGCGGCAGCCGCGAAGGTGAGAGGTGAAGTGAAGTGAGATAAAGCGAAGTAAGTGAAGACAGGTTGGATCCAGCGCGCAGCGGCAGGCAGCGGAAAGAAGGATCCTGCAGCCGATTGTCTCTCATTTCATGCCGCGCGCCCCGTTTGGCTGTTTGCTTTCTCTCTCTCTCTCTCTCTCTCTCTCGCCAGCGACGAGTACGCCCGTATGTCTGTCTCTTTGTGTCTCTTTACTTCTTTTCCCCCTTATTGTATTGGTGCACCTTGTTTCCTGGACGAGTGTTTCCACTTCCAGGTGAGGTACACTGACAATGAATTTGGGGAAATCACCGGCCCCACTTCGGCTACCCGATGACCGGAATGTCTGTATACGAAACTGGTATTATCAATGATGTGTTTGTTTGGTGCCTATAGTCTCTTTACTTCTCTTATCATCGCAGTCATGCTTATTCAGAAGCCGAATACAAGTCCCAATCGGCAGGGATCATGGTTGGCGTGTTGAAAGACACTGGCTCCTAACGGGTGGTGATGTGAAGCTGATTTGCTTTGCTACACGCCACACGTGAAGGGCCAAAAGCTTATGACTACCACAGCTCGTCCGCCACGTTGACCCGTGGCCATTTTCTATTGAAATACTTAGTACTACGATCGTTGGAGTAATGAACCAAATCGAATTCTACTCTCAGGTGGGTCTTGTTTTGAAACGCGGCGTGGACTGAACTCCTATCAAGTTGAACCATTATTCAAGAAAATTGCGCTTGGGATTGAAAATGGAAAATTCAAGGAGAAATCATTCAGAAATGCCTCTTCACAAGCCGGAATAAGGGAAAATCACACAGAAAGTGAGTTGAAACTGCCCGAATATCGTTTTCAGGACCTTTGAGGTAAGCCCGGAGCCTCCCACCGGTATTAGATGAGGGTGTCGAGATGGGAGGTTAAAGTTGCCATCATGGCGAGAACAATCCCCAGAACCCCAGGGCACGTGCAATATCCCAACCTTGATATGCCAAGGCATGGTTTCGGGGAGATGAGGCAGCATGAACAAAGCCTGGTATACTCGTTTGGTTTATTAGACTCGATGTTTTGGCCATTCATGAGAGCTTTGGTTGGAGCGTTGAGACCAGTCAATTTCACAATGGTTGAGTCGGCCCACATGCGGGAGGCCACCAGAGAGCGGTATACTGATAGGCCAATGAGACTCAGCGACAAGATAATCCTGCTGAATTCAATAAAAAGAATAGTTAGATCAAAATGTAGAAGCTGATTTACCTTAGGTAGGCAGGCCCAACTGGCCCGGCGCCAGCTGGGCTCTCTTAAGATAAAGGATCTAAGCCCCTAACAGCTCGTAAGGCGAGTCCACGAATGAGGGAAGTGGCATAATGTAAGCGAAATAGAGCCGGGAAATCGCGAGATAGAGTGCTGAATGCTTCTTTGGCAGCAGCCGTTGACTCTGTCATCAGCTTACCCCGCCATTCTCCTCACCCACATGGCGGGGTAAAGTGGTGATCATCTCGGTGAGATTGCCTTTTACCGAAGCTCACCGCTCTCACCTTGACCCATTTGCTCACTCAAACTGCCGGCCCCACTCGATGGCGTTGACTCGACCCACTTAAACGCGCTCTCACGTCCCGCGCGTCGAGACTCCCCTCAAAACAACGCAATATAAATATTTGCGTTATCTCGACAATTCTGAACCCATAGGCCCAGATATCTTTCAGAAAGGACTAAAGCCAGAAGTGGCTGAAGACCCCTCTCCTCAAATATTGCCGAGCAGCCAAAGACTTTACACCAGTGACGCCGGACCCGGTGGCTTGCGGATATGACTGAGAGACGATCGGATATCCCTACGTTTTCGATCCACTGGGTTAATATACCAGCTGCTGGATACGTCAATGGCTTATAACTTCTGATGAAGCGGCAAGGGGGTTATTGGGATTACCTGCCTCTCTTCTGTTGACTGACATACCACTGTTTGGATTGTTAAATGGCAACGACACGCGTATCTACCTGCTCGCCCATCCCGAGACATTGCCGGACCTGGATGGGTCCCTAGAAACACTCGCAGCGATCTAGACGATCGACAGTAGTAACCACTTCCTATTTCACCAATAACACAGTGGCTGATGACATTTACTCATAGCAAGTGCATTATTGGGCATCTGCGAGACACCGAAAGTCAACACAAATGGTGTCAGCGGCGATGTCCTAAGGCATCGGATGTGGTGCTTGACCTGCGGACATCCTGATGACACAATTTGAATCATCAGTCTTCAGCCCATTTGGGATGCTGGTGACGGCATGCACTGTTAGGACTCGTCAATCACCTGCCGCACCGCACTATATAGTTTAGTCCGCAGTTGAACATCGCACTTGGCGACGACAAAGTAATGCCAGTGGTACATGCGTGATTGGTCGCAGGGGGCTTCAGGAAAGGCTGTCAGGTCCCAAAACGGAGCTGATGAGTCGGCTGTTGAAGACCTGATTGGCAAAGACCGTCACCCTTATCGTTCCCGGGCATTTTCAAAGGTGTTCATATCCAGAAAACCAGCAAGGAGAGGAGCAATGGCGATAGTGAAAATGATAGTTACAGTAACACTGAAAGTGGTATTGTTGGAAGTGGTAGAAGTCGGACCTGATAAATGCCTCAAGCTGTAGATCACTTTGCCAGCTGATCATGCCACTACATAAGAATTCATCCTAATTACATGCCTGAAAGAGGCATGTCAGCGGCCACCTCAAAGCTGTGGGGCTTGACGAAGCTTATGGGGATGGCGACGCTATAAATTGCACGTCGCTGGAAGAATTCAAGTTTAGTCAAACTCGACACAGGTTTCATTGTCGACATTTCAAGGAAGTGCCTGGGAATGAACTGTTGCTTCAGGCAAATAAAGCACTGAGTCACAGATCCGGGCAATCGGCCTTGGATTCGAACACAGAATGAAAAGTTCAAACACCGAATCTGGGGAATGTCAAACGGTATCGGGTGATTGCGGGCGGCATAGTAATACGTGGGGCAGAACAACGGTCACCAGATTACAGAGTAACCAGGACCACGAGAAGCCAGACTACTGAAGAACGGTCGAAATCTGTGCTCATAGTGACTGGTCTGAGGTTTCAGCAAGGCGAAGTCGGAATATTCAGACACAGGCAGATGGCGGTTGTCTCAATAGCGTCACAGATCAAAATGATCTACGCATCACCTACACAGGAGAGTAGTTATTTCGCTCCCCAAGATGAAAAATGACCGCTGCTATTTGGAGAGATCCACTGGGTGGAGAGGCGAACTTATCGTGGTCTAGGTACTTTTTTCATCTTACATTACAGGTGAGCCGGATCTCCAGACTCCATCTGCAAGAGCTGAATTTAGATCCCATCCCATTCAAGATGTAGAATGGAATCGGGGACTTCATCGGCGGCGAGCTTGTCGATAGCCTCCGCGGGGGTACTTGCTTCCTCCACAATCCCCGCATTTGCCGGGCGAATGAACCTTTCCTCGGCGGCTCGACGAATCCAGCCCAGTATTCCATCCCAGAAGCCATTGATGTTTATCAGGCAAACACCGCGCTGATGAATTCCAAGCTGAACCCACGCCGCAACCTCCAAGACCTCCTCAACGGTGCCGTAACCACCAACTAGAGCTACGAAGCCGGACCCCGGCCCTCCAGCAATCACCTCTTCCGCCATCATGCGCTTGCGCGTGTGCATGTCCTTGACAATTGTTGTACGACCGTAAGTTGCCTCCTCTGGAAGAGGCATGTTCCCCGAAGCCACGCTGCTGTAGGTATTGTCCCTCTCAAACTTGACGAGTGCTTCGGGAATGATGCCGTGTACTGAGCCGGGCCCTGATAGTGAGACCAGGGTTTGGGCAACTTGCCCCATGAGCCCAACGGTTCCTCCGCCATAGACCATCGTGATGGTTAAGAGATTGTTGATGAAATCCGGCTTCGGCTCAAGATTTGTGAACTTACCTAAGTTGGCTCCTCTGGCAGCCATGAGCCTCGCCAAATCTCGCGCAGTTTGCAAGTGGGCAGGGTCATTGCCGGTCGACGAACCACAATACACGCATATCGTGATACCTCGTGGAGATTTTATTACTTTAGCCATCTTGCTGCTGGCAGTGGTGGCGTCACACATGTTATCTGTGACCATTCGGAAGAATGTGGTTGAAGCTGATCTTCTGTTGAAAGTAGAACGATGAGACGGATTGTAGCTGGCTATAACATGCTCTATGAGAGCTCAGACTGACCATACCGAATATTTCAAGCACAAAATTAGCAGAATGCCTGGAAAACTACCGGACTAGAGTTTAGTCCATGAAAGGTACAGCAGTCACGACTACTGACAAAGGGCAATCCTTGATTAATGAAATCGGATATCGGAGCCTGCCGCCCGTTACTGGGTTGATGTGACTCACACAAGAGGCATCTAACTGACTCCTACCTTGTTGTTCAGGCGCTCATATTTTTGGTTCATTAAATGCCAAAAAAACAAGCTGATCACCATCGCCCACTGGAACGCTGCCCCTGAGCAAGTGGACACCATTCGTGGAAACTTGCAAAGATGGAGGGCGAGCATGCTTGAAGTAAGGATCAGACCCTTCGGGTAGACGGAGACACCATTAAATTCCACAGATTTTGGAATCATCGCGATGCATTCGACAGGAACCATGGGGGTGTTCATATGCACATCAAGTCTGCAAGTCTGGAAGGAAATGACATTATCAATATGTACACTTTCCGCAATATGAACAGCTCTCGGAACAGGCTGTATAATCACCGTCGCCGTCGCTCCAATGGAGTTCATCCTCGTCATCCGCACTCGTGCCATCCTGTGTAATACCACCAAGCAGCCATATTGCCCATTCTTCATTGACCTTACTAGAGAATGCTGGAGATAGTCCAGGGCACTGAACCCGAATGTCGAGCTTGTCAAGCTGTTGGCGGCTGATCTCAAGCCTGTCATTCCTCCGTGCACGAGCAAGGCGAACTATGTGAGAGAGGAGTGCCGCTAGTCGAGAGAGCTCCCAATTCTTCGAAGTTTCCCAGGCTTTGACCTCCTGAGTTACATCCATGACCTCAATATCTTTGAATGTGCCTCTATCATGGTAGGCCAGGATGAAGTTGGGAATCTGGGCAACCCATAGTCGCGGAAGCTCCTCGCCGAGGAAATCAGTGCCTTTGCGCTTGACTGACCGAGTCTTGAGATCAAAAATTGCAGATTGGGGCACCTCAAAGCCGCCACTCTTCAATTGTACTTGCTGATGCGAGGTCTGCGGGCTCTTTGGTACCATCTCCTTGACTTTGAGATCTTCGATTAGGTCATCGACCGAAGCTATTTCAACAAAGTTGAGACCAGAGGCGTTTGTAGACGGCCCTTGCTTGTGTTTGAGGTAGCCGTCACCCTCATGACGAACAATGCAATGTAGACCCCCAAAGTCGTATTGAATGACGCGCTGATGAGATGTTGAACCGCGGACTTCAGCATCCCAAGTAGTGTAAGCCTCTGGAAACTTATGTCCGTAGCCCCTGACATCGGACATTATCTCTTTCGGGGAGTTTTCCCTACGAATTAAATGAACAGCGTCGCCAACCACCTCGAGGAGCATCCGGAAGGGTCTTTCGTCACCTCTGATGAAGCGAAGCAGGTTGCCGATTGTACTGCCGCAGGCAACAATGTCAATGGGTCTTGGAGAGGGCTTTGGATGCGCCATCAGGACAGCTTGGATGGCGGGCTCCATCGGATGAGCTGGGTATCGAGCAGCGTTCCTGTCACGGTAGTAGACGCCGTCGTCTTCTGACAGTTGTCGGGGTTCCGCGAGAGGCGTCCATCTGGGTGGCGCACCTGACTTTATTACTACTAAGCCCATAGACGAATAAACCAGCATCACGTACCTGGGACGATGATTGACGGTGATGTCCTGTCCCGCCAGTTATACGACGCGATAAGCTGGCAGCCCATCACCCGGGCAGATGACTCAAACTCCATGGCGGGTTTTGACAGCTCTGATACACTGACAGTCTCCACGAGTGTTCCAAATGGTGGCGCCGGCCATGTAGTCGCAGGTTCTGGTCGCCGCCATCGCGGGTTTCTTTGAAACTGGTCATACTTCTGTCGTCGGTACATGATGTAGGAACTGAAGAATTTGAAGAGTCAGAGAACTAGATGGAGACGAGGAAAAAATCGAAAACCACAATCAATTGCAATCATCTTGATTTTTGAACTTTTTTCGATGGCGGCTCGCTCTGTGGATGGCGAACCAGTCATCGAGCTGCGTGGTGGCCTCTCGCAGCCTTCATGCCGGAGGCCTACGACCCCTCACCTCGCGACCCAATCTTCGAGACGAACGCCTACTTTTGGTGGTATTTCCAGTTTCTTATTATTCCACGTCCCCAAAGTGTTGGCTCCCAACAGAAAACGTCGAAGCCTAACCTTACTTACTTAAGTACATATACTTGGGCCGACCGTGGCATGTGACGACTTCTTGGTTGATCGGCTGGAAAACCGCACTGAGAACGAGACCAAGCCATCCCTTTCCGCACTTATTCACTGCAAAACATCACTTGCTTCCAAGATTTGAGCTTGACTGTTCTACGAGTCATTAAAATATCTTTCATCAATTCCTTACGAACGAAATCGTGGTCCTGTTCAAGTCAGAGAGTGTCGTTGCTCCTCCAAAGATGGATTCCGCTCGCGCTTCCCGCCTCTTGAAGGTATTCAGAGATGTCACCAGAGGCAACAAAGCAATTTACACAGCAGGCGAGGCACGCCTGTTCCTCGAGGCCGTTCGAACGAACGCCTCTCCCGCCGCCTGCCTGGAGATCATCACAGCCAACGAGGTTGCACGCAATGCCATCAGCAACAGCATCCGGATCGATTCGTCAATCTCTTTCATGAGGGCACACGTGATTCCATTCATTGCCTATTTGAGCGACCCCGGATTGAAGATGATGTACGGTGGACAGCTTCTTTGCCACGTCCTACTCATCATCGCCCACCCCCCAGCCCTCTGGGGAAACCTCCTGAGTGCTTTCCGAGAGTCTCAACTCACCGAAGACGAGCTTCAAGTCTTTGCGTGGCTCTGCTTAGAGCTTTCTGGTCTTTCTGACAATATAATCGACAGCATTGTAGGGGACATCACGAACGCCTTGGACGAGAAGCCGTTTCGCGAGGCTCGGAACCATGGGACTCGCGACTTAGTCTACAGGATCAAGAAAGTACTTGCTCTCAGATCGTCTTCTGGCGACAAGAACCTCGAGGCAGCTGGGGGCCGCCATGACAACGACTTTTCGAACTTTCGAGATGTTTCAATCTTTCCAACGAGTGACGAGTTCTACTCCAATGCGAGGCCTTTCTATCGAATGGCAGCCGAGGTTGCTGCCGCAGATCAAGTTCAGCGACCGCGTGTTCATCTAGATAACCAGTTCCGACTTCTTCGCGAAGACATGCTGGGCGAACTGCGCGACGATTTGAAAGTAGCTACGGGAAGAAAGAAGAGCAAGAAGAGGGCCCAGATACTTTCAGGAATGTTGCCTGTTAGGATTGACACTGGCAACGACAGGCGAAGCCGTGCTTGTGCGGTCGCGCTTGCATGCCTTGGGGGACTGGAGTTCATGAAGAAGCTATCGCCGGCAAAATGCAAGGCCTTCTTTGATGACCACAAAAATTTCCTTCGACACCAGTCTTTTGGCGCTCTATGTGGCGAAGATCACATTGTCGCGTTCGCATTCCTGCTACGAGACGTGGACCAATTGCTGAAGAAGCCCCCCATTGTTACCCTGCAATTCACTAGCAGCGAAGCTACTACAAGAGCTTTGCAGGCACTTACACCGTCGAATAATCTTAGGTTCGTTCTTGTAGATACTCCGGTGTTTGCCTACCAGCCCGTTCTGGAGTGTCTTCGGGAAATAACAGAGTTGCCTCTCGGAGAGAGGCTTCTGAGACTTCCTCACGATGAGAAAAGTCAACCACAAGACTCCCTTCAGCAATCCTCTTACGTCCAAGAGTATGTGAGGCGACTGGAAGAGATTCTGGAAGTTGGATCACGTTGCCTTTCAATTGGCGTGCAGACTTTTGATCTCGATGATTCTCAACTTCGATCGTTGCTACATGCGTTACAGAACCCTTTGGCACTCATCCAGGGCCCACCTGGTACGCGATTCTCAGTCTATTTAAGGAAAGACACACAGATTACACTTTGAATATGTAAAAGGTTAACTGGACTCTAGGAACTGGCAAGTCATTCGTTGGCGCTTTGGCAGCAAAGATACTGCTTGGAGATCCGGAAAAGCGAATTCTAGTGCTCAGCTACACCAACCACGCACTGGATCAGTTCCTCGAGGATCTGATGAAAATTGGCATCTCATCTGATGACATGGTGCGCTTAGGATCGAAGTCGACGGAATCAACGTCAGCACTGTCACTGGAGAAGCAGTTGCGAAGCTATGCCTACCGTCGAAATAATGCAGCGTGGGAACACATCAACGGCACGAAAGCAGATATGGACGAGATTCGGGCAGAGATCGAGGCGGCATGTGACCTTCTCGTCCGGGATAAGGTTGGCTCTTTGGAGCTCTTGAGTTTTCTGGAATTTTCCGACGACGACCAGCCATTTTATGAAGCTTTTCTCTTGCCTGAGCAAGAAAGTGGTTTCCAAATCGCAGGCAAGAGTAATAAGGCCATGGGTCCCGACTATCTGCTGGGCCGGTGGATTACGGGACAAGATGCCGGTGAACTCCGACACTTTGTCTCGTCTGGAAGCCAGAATATCTGGCGCTTACCACTGGATCAGAAATCTGCACATGTTCAACGATGGGTCGGGTGCATTCGAGAGGAACGAATCGAAGCAGTCCAGAACCTCATTAAGAGGTTCAATGATGCCCAGGGGCAAGTGGACAGAATGTTCAGCGAGTCCAAATGCTCCTTCATGCAAACGAAGAGGATCATCGGATGTACAACAACCGCGGCTGCCATGTACAAGCCGCTAATTAAGGCTGCCAAGCCCGATGTCGTTTTGGTTGAAGAGGCTGGTGAAATCCTCGAGGCTCACGTATTGACTGCTTTGCACAGCGATACAAAGCAGCTCCTACTAATCGGGGATCATAAACAGCTGCGACCCAAGATCAACAATTATGCATTAAGTGTCGAAAAAGGAGACGGCTTCGATCTCAATCGCTCGCTCTTTGAACGACTGATTCTTCAGGGACACGACCACGTCACACTCCAAAAGCAGCACCGCATGCACCCGGATATCTCGGATCTTGTTCGGAAGATGACATACCCGGATCTATTGGACGGTGACAAGGCCAAGGATCGGAAGCCTCCAAAGGGATTTCAGGGGAGGGTCAGCTTTGTTAATCACAGTCACCCAGAAGACCTGGCCAGCGACATTACCGATCGCCGCGACGTTGGTGTCGTTTCTAGCAAGAGTAATCTTTATGAAGCGCGCATGGTTCTGAAGCTAGTCAAATACCTTGGGCAGCAAGGATATCGCACGGAAAACCTCGTCATTCTCACGCCATATCTGGGACAGTTGCGCCTACTCAGAGAAACCTTGAGTTCCGAGAATGACCCTTGGCTCAATGATTTAGATTCGTTTGAGCTGATTCGCGCGGGACTCATGACTGCCGCTGCGGGAAAAGTGCCTGACGGATCAGGATCAGGAAGAATCAAACTTTCGACTATCGGTGAGTTCAAGAGACTTTAGGTCAATGAAGTCTGAAGACTGAATTCTTACCTACTTCTGCATACAGATAACTACCAGGGCGAAGAGAGCGACATCGTCATTGTTTCTCTGACCCGGAGCAACAACAATGGCGACATCGGATTCATGAAGGCGCCCGAGCGGCTCAACGTTCTATGTTCTCGTGCGAGAGAGTGCCTCATTCTCATAGGCAATATGGAGACCTTCATGGCATCTGGGCACGGAAAAGCAGTCTGGGTGCCTTTCTTCACCTTACTGAAGGAGAAGAATTATCTCCATGATGGGTTTGCAATCCGCTGTCAGCAGCACCCTGACAGGATCGCATTGCTCAAAGAACCGGAAGACTTTGATGCAAAGTGTCCTGACGGTGGTTGTGACGAAGCTTGGTAAGTCTCACCAAGACGCTCAACTTGAAGTAAAAGCAGGAGCCATGCTGATATACAGAACTTGCATGTAGTAACGCCATAATGTCCTGCAACATACATAAGTGCCTTCGACGTTGCCATAGACTCAGTGACCACAGCAAGATCCGTTGTCACATAAGGATCGCAAAGCACTGCGATAGAGGACATAGGTACAGCGTCAACTGCAACAACCAGACTCAAAAATGCGTCGCATGTTTCAAGGAGGATGAGGATACTCGGAGGCGCTTGAAGCGCGACTTGCAGATGGAAGTAGAACGCGATATAGCGCAAAAGAAATACGCCCAAGACCTGCAAAAGGTAGATGACGACTTGGATCGTGAGAGAAGACTGATCAAGAATGAACAAGAGGACCTGAAGCAGAGCAAGACTCTAAAAGAACGCAAAGAAGAACTGAGAGCTCTACAGCAGACGAGAGTCCGTGCTGAGACGATGAAGGCTGCCAGAGAAGCTCCCAAAAGAGTTCCGGGTGCTTTACCAGATGAACAAAAGCCTGCAGCGAACTCAGACCCAAAGACTGGAAGCGCAGAGGAAGAGTGGCTGAATCTGAAGTCGGAGTTCGGGGCTAGCAGCATTGCCATGGATCAACTCATGAGGATGATCGGGCTTGAGAGCATCAAAGAGGAGTTCCTCTCTATCAAGTCCAAAGTCGACATGGCGGTGAGACAGAGGATATCATTGTCGACAGAGAGGTTTAGCTGCTCTCTCTTGGGAAATCCCGGAACAGGCAAGGTTCAATCACATTAGCAATAAGTATTGTTCGGCGGCTGACAAGTTGATCGCAGGCAAAACCACCGTAGCACGGATCTATGCCAAATTCCTGGTGTCGGTGGGCGTCATAGCCGGAAGTCGCTTCGAAGAGACGTCTGGATCAAAGTTGGCATCTTTGGGTGTGTCTGGCTGTCAAAAGCTGTTAGATGACGTCTTGAATGACGGTGGTGGAGTGATCTTCATTGACGAAGCATATCAACTCTCCTCAGGCAACAGTCCTGGTGGCCGCGCAGTCCTTGATCTCCTGCTCGCAGAAGTTGAGAACCATACCGGCAAGATCGTTTTCATTCTCGCTGGGTACAACAAACAGATGGAGTCTTTCTTCGCGCACAACCCTGGCTTTCCAAGTCGGTTTCCGATCTCGATGAAGTTTGATGACTACAACGATGAAGAGCTTCTGAAGATCCTTCAGTTCCAGATTAACAAGAAGTACGGATGCCGCATGAAGTGGGAAGATGACCTTCACCTCCGCGTCGCATGTCGTAGACTTGGACGCGGGCGGGGAAAGGAAGGATTTGGGAATGCGCGAGCAATTGAAAATCTCCTTTCCATCGTCTCCAGTCGGCAGGCAAATCGAATTCGAAAGGCTCGTCGAGGGGGCGCAAACCCGGACGATCTCCTGTTCACAATGGAGGATTTGGTTGGACCTGAACCTTCAGCTGCCCTCGGGCACAGCAAAGCTTGGGAGAAATTGCAGACCTTGATCGGCCTTGGTTCAGTCAAAGAATCAGTCCGAGCCCTGGTCGATAGCATCCAGACAAACTATGTTCGCGAGCTGGCAGAAGAGCCCATCATCGAGTATACGCTCAATAAAGTCTTCCTCGGCTCGCCGGGAACGGGGAAGACCACCGTCGCCAAGCTATACGCCCAGATCCTTGTTGACTTAGGTCTCTTATCGAATGGCGAGGGTAAGCTGTTGTACCTGCCTACGGTATTCTCATGCTGACATGGATGCTTCACAGTGATCGTCAAAAATCCGGCGGACTTCACGGGTGCCGTATTAGGAGCCTCCGAGGCCCAGACCAAAGGCATACTGACGTCGGCCGTCGGTAAGGTTCTCGTCATTGATGAGGCTTATGGACTATACGGGGTCAGTGACTCAGCTGGGGGAGTTTCTGACCCCTACAAGACTGCCGTGGTAGATACCATTGTTGCCGAGGTCCAAAGCGTTCCAGGAGAAGATCGATGTGTGCTTCTTCTGGGTTACAAGGACCAGATGGAGGAGATGATGCAGAACGTTAACCCGGGCCTGAGTCGACGATTTCCATTGTCGTCAGCCTTTGTTTTTGAAAACTTCGAAAAAGCAGATATGCGGAAGATCTTGGACCTCAAACTCAAATCACAAGGGTTTTCTGCTACTGACCAGGCCAAGCATGTCGCTTCAGAGATGCTCGAAAGGGCCCGCAACCGACCAAACTTTGGCAACGCAGGAGAAGTGGACATTCTCCTGAACGAGGCAAAGGCACGTCATCAGCGACGACTAACCGCTGAAGAAAGCCACCACGTCTCTACCCTTGAAGCTCTGGACTTTGACCACGACTTTGACCGCGCAGACCGGGCTGAGACCAACGTTGTTAAACTCTTTGAGGGGACTGTTGGCTGCGAGAAGATTGTCGCCACCCTCGAAGGATATCAGGAAACTGTTCGTTCTATGAAGGCACTGAACATGGACCCAAAGGAGAGTATTCCTTTCAACTTCCTCTTCCGCGGCCCTCCAGGCACGGGTAAGACCTCAACGGCGAGAAAGATGGGCAAAGTCTTCTACGATATGGGGTTCTTGGCCAAGGCGGAAGTTATTGACTGCTCTGCATCCGATCTCATCGGCCAATTCGTCGGTCAGACCGGTCCTAAAGTGCAGCAACTCCTGGACAAGGCTCTTGGAAAGGTGCTTTTCGTCGATGAAGCTTATCGTCTTGCCGAAGGACACTTTGCCAAAGAGGCAATTGACGAGGTAGTTGACTCGGTGACGAAGGACAAGTATAAAAACCGCCTTGTCATAATCCTGGCTGGCTACGACGAGGACATCAATCGACTACTTTCAGTCAACCCGGGAATGTCAAGTCGATTCCCAGAAGTCATTGACTTCCAAAGCCTTAGCCCCGAGAGTTGCTACGAGCTTCTTCTGCAGCTTCTACTCAAGCAGAAGCGAATTCTTCACAACAAGAATGCATCTAATAATCTTGTGATGGATTGTCTATCAAGTCCATCGCCCGATTTCAAGAGGGAAGTCGCCGCCATGTTTCACAAACTCACTACAACCGCCGGATGGGCTAGCGCCCGAGATGTTGAAAGCCTAGCCAAGTCGATTTTTAGCATCGCGATCAAGTCTTGCCGGGGCGGACAGGTGACAATCGACGAAGGTCTTGTGGAGAAAGAATTTTCCAAGATGCTTGATGAGCGCGAAAGCCGGGAAAAGCAAGCAGGGAACATTCGTGGCATGCCCAAACTCGAGCAATCTTTCCAGCAGATGCCATCGCCCCCTCAAGCACAACGCATGCAACCAACAGCTTATGCACAAACCGCCGCTGAAGCCACTGGACAGGAAGCAGACCCAACGCCTTTCGAGAGTCCGGTGATGGAAGTCAGTGACGAGGGTCGGAAAGCAACGCGCGACGCTAGTGTCAGCGATGAAGTCTGGGAACAACTGGAGAAGGACAAAAAGGCTCGAGAGGAGAAAGACGCCAAGTACCGAGAAATGCTCGAGAAAAAGCGCAAAGCAGTTGGGGCTGCCAGGGAGGCGATTCTTAAAGAGCTTATTGAGGAAGAAGAGCGGCGAATGAAAGAGGAAGAGCAGTGTAAGAAAGCCGCGATGATGGGTCGATGTCCCATGAACTTTGAATGGATCAAGCAGAGTATGGGGTTTCGGTGTGCGGGAGGTTCACATTTCATCTCTGATGAGGATATTGCGCGCTCTTGAGGCAATTACGCTTATGTCGCAGGGTTAGAAGTCGCTAGACCGTGAAGTGATTCAAAGATTTGGGCTCTCATTCCAACCACAGTAAACTTTAATTGTTCACAATCTGTAGCCCATACCGGATTCTGAACCTGAGCTGGACGGAGACACGCGAGTCACCATGCCATTAGTCTTGAGAACCGAGGCATTATTCCAAGAGAATCTTGTAATATCGAAACCAACAGATTTTAAATATCATGAGATTCTGCTCCTCATACCCAGTATTCGTGTAAGAAAACGTAGGAGGTATATTGTTTCATTCCAAATATGCCTACCTACAGCATGCCGATACTTCACACTATACATGTGCGTCGTCAGATTCGATCGCCGAAACGGCTGAGCCCCAAGAGACTAGCCAACTCCATGATGTTGATCGTGAGGATCAAACACAGATTTCTGGGGTTGTCGTAAGAGGACTTGCACACTAAGTAGGATGCTGACAAGATGAAAACGTGAGAGGAAACAAGGACACGACTGACAGAATCCAGGATCGAGATGCGATTGGGTCAACAGAGCAGCGGCTCCGAGTGCCAGAGACACGTCCCGGTTGACTGGGGACCCTGGCCCTCCCGCCCTGTCATTATTCGGTTCAAGGTCTACCATGTAACACCGAGCTGCCAGGGATCACGGGGGCGTCGCCAATCCTCCGAAGCGCAGACCAGATCTGGGCGACACGCCGTCTCTAATGCTAGCGCGCGGTCGATCGGCTGCCACATATTCCTGGGGAACGTCATTTCAGTTGCAGGCAGTGACGTTGTGGTTATCAGAGACAGGAGTAATTAACAAAAGGGTTTGATTCCACGCGGGGAAAGTTCTGTCACGAGAATGCTATGCGGGGAAGACGAACGGCATAAGTTCTTCTTGATCATAACATACCGACTGGAATTGTCTTGATGTCGAAAGGCCAACAATTGTCATCTGCTGTCAGGGGTGGGTGGTCAAACCACCATCGGGCGCCGCGGCATCACAAGATAAAAATTCAGAAAGGTGACTCGCCTGCCGCGCATGACAGCCCTATAGGCTGTTGACATACGTGAGTAAGGTTTCGTCAAGTCAGCCAATACGCGGGGCCCCAAAGCCCGGTAGGCTTGCGGAGTATGATTTTCTCTCGTCAAAGAAAGTAAACGAGTATCCAGTGGAGAGATCTACGAAACCTGACTATGCCGCTGCGACGTGAGGTCTTGCGGCTGGGTCTGTCGTAAGATCGACGCTAGATATGTTTCACTAAGTGCTCAAATCCGGGGAATTTGGCAATGCTCTGCCCACGTCATGTAACATTAAGACAGACTTTGACGCCATTCTTGCTCCAGTACGAAGAAGGTCGTCGAGGTTTGCTATGTTCGTGTGAGCCACAAGGCAACGCGCCTTCTGACCACCTTACCTGCAAGGCGTGAAATGTAAAGGCCGTAGATGTTGACATAGCAAACATGGCTGTCGCAGTAGAATTGCATCGTGAATCTCACGGCTGGTGTAAAGATAGTGAATGATCGTTATCCAAATGAATAACATCACATGCAGAGCACAATTTGATGGGCAGTTATGATGATGAAAGAAAGCCTCAATGATGATTTGCTACAGGCTAAACAAGCTGTAAGGAGTATCCCGGTCTGTACTTTATTCCTCGTCCTCCTCTGCTGCGTCTTCTGCCAAATCGACCACGTTCGCCTTCGTCGCCCCAGTCGCACCTCCGGCCGCACCACCAGTAAGACCACCGAGAAGGGCACCGATTCCTCCAGCGCCACCAGCGCCCGCCGCACCGCCAGCTGCACCTCCCGTGAGACCTCCGAGGAGGGCACCCAAGCCTCCGGCGCCGGCGGCGCCACCAGCACCGCCCGCGCCACCACCAAGGAGACCACCGAGCAAACCCTCAAGACCCCCAGCGGGGGCCTTGGGAGCAGCAGCGGGTGTCTTCGGGGCAGCAGGGGCAGCAGCAGGAGTCTTGGGTTTAGCGGGAGCAGCAGCAGGGGGAGCAGTGGTGTTAGTTGCAGGTTTGGCTGGAAAGCAAGAGTACCATGGTTAGTATTCGATTATGTTTAGATTCTCGGACGGACGGACGGAAACGGGGGAGGCGCGGGGGGCGGCGCGCGACGGAGGGGGGGTGCTCTACGCACCACCAGCGGGAGCGGCACCACCAGCGGAGTAGGCCTGGATGCCCTTGTCGAGGGCAGCAGTGATCTGGTCGATGCTCTGTTGTGCGATACCCTGGCCAATGGCGGGAACCTTGGAGACAATGGCGGTTCCCAGGCTGGCGGAGGCGGTCTTCTGTTGCTGGAGGTTCTGGAGGACAACGCTGGAGACACCAATCTGGTCGAAGTTGGGCTTCTTAGAGACGAGAGTGTCAATCAGGGTGGTTGCGGACGAGGTCAGATCGGTAGCGGTCTGCTGGAGTCCGAGAGCCTCCTGGAGCTGAAGAGGCTGAGCACCCTGAATGTCGGTGGCGGCCTTTGACAGGGTGTTCTGGACCTCAGTAGAGGCAGCCAGAATGGGTTGTGCGGACGCAACATCGTTACCAACACCCTGAAGCATGTATGTTAGTCAAAATGTCCGGTATGCTGCGTTCCTGCATATCCCATCTCTGCACCAGATCGAAGCCGAAGCTTTCCAACGGTACCGTATGCCCGATGTTCGGACCAACGTACCTGGACAGCGGTGTTGAGCTTGGTAAGAGCTCCCTGGACGGAGGTGACGGCGCCCTGAATGACGGAGAGTTGACGCTTCTCGATGGGGGAGGCGAAGGCGGTGCCGACGAGGGCGAAGAGGAGAGTCTTGGTCAGCTGCATTTTGGTAATAAGTCACTAGCCAGAGTGATCTGTTATGGTATCAAGTGATTAGAGAATAGAGTAAGATGCAGAAGATAGTCTCCAACCCGGGAGTATATAAGTAAGAAGCGTTGGGAAAGTCTGTGCTGACAAGGTTTGATGGATGAGGATGCTTTTTCATCCCCGATTGTGAGCCGGGAACCATCAAGCTGATATATGAGTGACCGGATGGCTGCGCGCTGACTTCATGTGCCACGGGCAAAGCAGTGAAGCGCATCTTTGTGAGTTCACCTCGGCAGCAACTCTAAGTCCCCTGCACCAAGATAGACCCAATATACGCACAGCCCCCGAAGCCTGAGACGATGGAAACCATAGAGGTGTGGATATTATTATCGCACCAGACCAACGGCACCACGGCTTGCGGGCAGTTTCTTCGGACGTCTCAAGGTGTTCGAGAGCCCTCCCTTGTTTCTGTGGTGGAGGAGGGGCACGGATTACGTGCCACGTTGGGCCCAGCCTTCACGTCCAAGTCAGCTGCATCTTCTTGGCTGTCGTTGTTGAGTTGAGGGGAGCAGCACTAGCTTCCATGGCGTATTAGCCATTGTGTCGCCCCCTACCGGTGCGTATTGACGGATCCAGGATTGCGCCATGTCAAAGTGTGTGTGAATTTGTGTTATGTCTGCCGTTGGTGTGGGGAGGAAAATAGTCAGTTGTGCGCGCTTGCGAGCGTTGAAGTTCAGATGAAACGAAACTCGGCCGTGTAAGTCGTCTCACAAGGTCGACTGCAGCTACCCTTTGGGAAAAGTACAGGGAGCCCCATGTCTGAGCGGCAACGTTTGTTCACGAAATCGTGAGACGTTTGGAGACGTTGAGATTTCCATGCCAAGGACCTCCCTCCGGACATTGTGTGGCAATGGGGGAAGAAAGCAGGGTTGAGGCTCTGTCTTCTTCTCACCATCTTACCATTTTGGGGTTGGTCTGCACCACCACACCCCTTCATCAACGATTCGAGTCAGAGAGTCAAAGAACTTCAGGCGCGACGACATCTGTCATTCGCCGATGGCTTACAGGGACTTGCCGACGATCTGGGCACTCAAATGCAGCAAACAACTCATCACCCCAGAGTCCATCACCCAGCCGTCCACGCACAAGCCAGGGAAAGGTCTCTAGGACCAATGTATGGGTTGCCTATTCGGGTAATGTAGAGGAGAAACTCTCTCCAGGTTGGTGGGCTTCGCGTAACCGGGATGGCCTCCAAACAGGTTCAAACGGGGTCAGGCTCTAGATCGCCGCAAGGGCTAGGCACGAGGGCGGAGGCCAAGCACTACCTAGCTGACGGCTCACGGCTGACGGCTCAGCGCCAAACTTGCGCTAGATTTAACCTTAGCACTAAGGGAAACAGGGTAAGATGTATGAGGAAACTACCGATCCCCACGAAAACGAAGGTCAGTATGGCATCTCTGGCTCCACCAAGGTACCTATTGCCTCTCGTGGCTTACAGATTCTTCATCTGGGGAATGCGCGGCATCGTCTTGGCCCTTCATACCTTGTGCAGCTGGGGAGGCGATGATGTCGCCGCCGGTTTTGGCGTGTCCTGGTCGCATACGGCCTAATCGGCTGACAAGGCGTGACGGATGATCGGCTGCCACCCATACCCAGCGACGCAAGGCCCCTCTGTTCATTGACAAACATCGAACCGGAACACGACAGGAAAGCCGGAAGACCAGAGCAGAGACTGCCAAGACAGAGACAGATTGGCCCCGTCGGTCTCTGTTGCCCAATGACCCTGCATGATGGACTATGCGTCGCCTCCTTCGACCACCCATTTCCCTCTTCTGGCAATTCATGAGTCGCCTGGAAGCGGAACAAGAGGCAAAGGGGGGGTTTTGAAAATAGGCAAACGCGGCTTTGGGGTTTGGTGTTGAGTTGCGGACTGCGCGGGAACATGGCCTATCCGTTCCCTTCAGGATCGCCGCCGAGAGAGAATGGAACGCGGGAATTGTTCGAGAAGACTGTCAGACAGAGCCGTGGTAGTGCCGTCCTCAGGTCATGTCTCTACCTACATCGAGTCGAGAGCTTGATGCCGATGCGAGTGCGATTATTCGCCGCGCCGGAATGGCGGCAAAGGCGGCCAACGAATGGGACGAATACCACTGAGTAAGCTGATGTGACAGCCATCCGCGGAATGCGATTCGCACTTCAGGTGACTGGAGCTGGGAAGGCTGAGGGTCTCGACTAACAAACACAGCTGGAAATCCCCGGGAATGCCCTACGGTCTTTTCGGGGGTTGCCCAGGCGTGTTCCACGACTTAGAAGACAGCGAGCCCCCTGCCAAAAGCCCGAAGGATTCGGCCCCGCTCTCGGCGCGGGGATAACGGCAGAGCGGGGCCATTATCGGCCTCTCGAGACCTACCCGGGACTCGGTGATTTTCCTCGGTGAATTCATCCCCGCTCCATGTAAGCCGGACCTTAGGCTGAGATCTTGCATTGTAGCGCGTTGATATATATTGACGGAGAGATTTGATAGACTCAGACAGTTTCCGTCATCAAGTTCTAATTCGAAGAAACCTCTCACACGCGCATCGCAGTGATCCAAATTCATCACCTCAACCGCAGATTCAATCATGAGTGACCTCTCCGAGACTTTCACCACGCTAGCATCTCAGCTTTCGCAGCTGGCGACTTCGACCTCAAGCGATGATGAAAAAAACAACGCCGCCGTTGACATTGCAACAAAGATCCTCACGGCAACTCGAGGACCGATACCAGACTGGATGGACCGGATGATTAACGTCATGGAACTGACTGGACTGAAGGTGCTACTTGACTGGAACGCCCTGGATATGATACCGTCGGAAGGCTCTATCACATATGCTGACTTGGCCCAAAGGCTGTCCGCGGATGAGCCTTTACTTCGTAAGTCGGCTCACTCAATTGCCCAAACTGTCGATGAATTTCGACATTGACATCTGAAAAAGGACGGCTAGCATGGGTTCTTGTTTCTAGTGGTATGCTACGTCAAGTTGGTAAAGACAAAATTGCGCATACAGAAAAATCTCGCCAATATCTTCCCGGGACGCCTGATGAGCTCTTGCTGCACATGATGTGAGGCTTCAGAAGACTCTCCCGTTGAATGAACAATCATCTGACATCCTCCAGGTTTGAGGAGCATGTTATGACGGCTCTGAAGCTACCCGAGTACTTTGAACAGTACGGCCGCCGGGAGCCGGCCACTCGCCGGCACACTCCCTATGCCTTTTCACGCGGTCAGCCAGAAAAAGAGATTTGGGAGATTCACCAAGAGAACCCTGCGCAGGTAAAGAGGTTTATGGGAGTAATGGAGACAGTGCAGTCATTCATCCCTCTAGTTGGAATCTACGACTTTGGCTGGGTGGAGACGAAGCTGTCTGAGCAGCACGACAGGCCGCTCCTTGTGGATGTGGGTGGCAGCAAGGGCCATGCTATCAAGGCCATTATGAAGGAGAACCCTTTCATTCCAGCCGATCGCATCACTCTACAGGACAGAGATGAGGTGATTCAACAGGTTGTCGAACTCAAAGATTCAGGGCTCGATGGCGTACACCTTCAGGTACACGATTTCCACAAAGCGCAACCTGTCAAAAGTACGTTTACATGCTTTCGAAATCTTTCACGTGTCCATGAAGATCAGCTGACACATACAGACGCACTGATTTATTGGATCCGGCGATGTCTGCACGACTATGGAGACGACGACTGTGCCACGATGCTCACGCAGCTATCGGATGCCATGAGTTCGGACAGCAAGGTACTCATCGTCGAGTACGTCCTTCCGAGCCCTCCCCCGCCCATTGGCGCCATGACAGACTTCAGCATGCTCGGAATTGGAGGAAAAGAACGGACAGCCAATGACTGGGAGATGCTTGTTGCTAGGTCTGGGCTTAAGATTGAGAAGATTCATGGCCTAGACATGAAGATGCAGGTCATTGAATGTGTCAAGGCCTGATTTGGATAGGAATGAGCGCCATGGCCTTTGTTGATAAACTACCGTAGATTAGTTCTTGATGTCGTGATTTGATAAATGATCACTACTTGGGTACTGAATTTCGAGGCTTTCTTCAATTGAACCAATATTGTGCCTTGGCCCGAAAGGGTTCACACTGGGGTGTTTCGATGGCTATTTTGGTTTCCGATAAACAACAACTCGTCTCCCTGAGCGGCATAATGAATCCCGTGGAGTTCAAGAACGTCCGTGTATGAACGGAGCCGCAGACAAAACTTTCCTGCCCTAGGTAATTAACACATATTCGTGTTTCCCCGGAAGTTTCTCTGTCTCCATGTTTGTCCTGGAACCTGTCATGAAACAACCTTAAGTCCATCGGCAAACTCTACTCTATTTGACACATGCCTAGATGCGGGCATATGCGGGTGAGTCCCCGCATAGTGTGCCTACCCAAATCTTCAATCATTGAACATTGGATGATCCTACCATCGTCATAGTTAGTAAAGGAACGGGGTGGTAAATGTGTCAAAACCTGTTGTGAACAAACCTTGTGCATCGCCCAAATTTCGTCCAAATAGAACACACGATCAAGATCTGGTCGGACATCTCCGTTACCAAGCCATGCCATTCGATGATCATAGTCTTCGGCCCTCTCGTATTCAAAATCTTCCCATCGAGGGTGACGCAGCGCGGTGTACCCGTGTAGACAAGACCCAGGCCACAGGGTTCGGATCTTGGCCTTTCCAGAAGCTCCGTTCTTGTACCACGATTTGCAGTTGCCTGAATTGTGAGAACCATAGTAGATGGTGTTAGTCTCCTTTCCGGCAGCCGAGTCGTGAAAGAAAGCTCGGTAGCAAACGGCTCACCTGAATACACAGTTCTGTCAAAGTAGTTGTCTGTGTACTGAAGAAATGATTCGACAGCATCTTCCTTTACTACAATGCTCTTGTAGCCTTCTCGGATGCACTTTTGGATGCACTTGGTGGCGTAGGCAATTTGTTGCTCCATCAGAATGAGCAAGGACCCTGATCCAACGCCAGACTGAGCGCTTAGAATTGGAAAGCTGCCAAACAGATAAGCGTATGTAACATTAAGGAAATCGAACGCTCGATAATTGCGTACAAGTTAGGCATCTGAGGAACGCAGACAGCCAAGTACTGTTTGACATCTTTGGCCCACATATCTTGCAAATTGATGTTGTTTGAGCCATAGATCGGGAAGCTGGGTACAGCAGAGACGTCCTGTTTACGTGTGTTAATCCTGAGATGAGGCATTGAATAGCGAATGTAACTCACAAAGCCAGTAGCGCAAATAATTGCGTCAAATTCAAGTTCGCGGCCATCTGCTGTCACCAGACCTTTCTCAGTGAACGATGCTAGCTCTTGAGAACAGAACTCAACATTGTCTGCTGTCAGACTCTCGAGGTAACCTGGAAAAAGTCGTCTCATGTTAGCCAACTTCTATGCTTGTTCACTCTAAGGTGATTGAAGGGATTGTGTCAATGAGATCTTGGGGAGCGTACCCGGCCCCGGCGTGAGGCGTTTGCAGGCAACTGGGAAGTCGGGTATAAGCTTCTCAGCAATCTCAGGTTTGGATGCAAGCTTCTCCAGCATCTTTTCCTCTATAATTTGTCGAGCTTCCAGCTGCAATGGTTGACCCTGTTCGGTGATCTTGTGTACGGCGTTGAGGCCTCGCTCCAACTCTCGACGAAACTGAGAGTAGAACTCTTCGTTTGTAAAGCTTTTCCTTTCTTCGGGAGAGAACGCATCTGGGTGACTTCAGCATCAAAGGGCTCGAGTTTCTGGATCTCAGAAGGGACCAACTTACGGTTACTAGCTCCTGCACCTTCATTGAGGCGTTCAAGAAAGGCCGAGGCAAATGTAGACGAGATCCAAGCTGGTAATGATTGTTTGGTAAGTAAATTGTCAACATTACCTTGCGGAAGAATATCGGTTTACTTACTGCGACTCCTTATAAAGTTTGTAACATGTTTTGCTTTCCTCTGCATTTGTGGCATGATCTGAATCGCACTAGACCCCTACACAGACGCAATACGGTTAGAAAGAATGAAGAGCTGTCTATCAGGACTGCTTTTGCGACTTACTACACCAATCACAGCAACTCTCTTGTCTTTCCATGAGAATCCTTCTTGAGCTTCCTCCTTGGCAGCATCCCAATTTGCAGAATGATGCAAAATGCCCCTGTATCGTTCTCGGCCTGTACACTATTTGTTAGGACAGTCGTGCCTGCCCTGATGGGCATTGTCTAAAGAATCTTAGTTGTGAGATGTGAGCTTACCCGCAATCGTCGGCCACTTGGGTTTTGACAAAAGACCAGTGGCGTACAAGAAGTAGTCTGCCTCATCTACTTTCTCCTCATTCTTGTCGAGATCTAACACTCTGACAGACCATTTTCCGCGATCCTGGGACCACTCGGCTCCAACGACTCTGTGACGCAGCTTGATAAGGCTTTGCAACTTGTAGTGGTCGACAACTCTCTTCAAGTATCTGTGGATCTCTGGACCAGGCGCATAGAATTCCGACCACTGGGTGTTCTGGCAAAAGGAGTACTGATAGCTGTGAGCTGGGATATCGCAGGCGGCACCTGCGTATCGATTGTGATGCCACACTCCGCCGACATCGTCTGCAGCTTCGTAAATCTGGAAGTCAACGTCTCGTATATGCTCCCGCATGTGGATTGATGCCCCAATGCCACTGAACCCCGCGCCAACGCAGATGACCCGGACTTTGCGATCAGCGTCAATGGTCCGCTCAAGAAGAGGAGCCGCCCATGAGTAATCTACTTCTTCCCTGTCACGAGTTTTTATAAGCATGTTTCTTGCGATAGTTTAGTGAGAGGACACAGAGCTAGACTCACTGCAGTTCTCCCAGGGAGTTGCCGTTGGTTGTGCAATGCGACACACCATCGTTCTGGATCATGATGAATGATCGAAGGGGTTCAAGTCTCTATCAAATACCTTCTTTGAATTATCTACTAGTATCGTGCTTCCGACGAAAGTCACACGTTGTGTGAGCTTGCCGTTGCCTACTCATGAAATTTAGGTCTGTCGTGGTTGAAGGGAGAAATGCCAACTGCAGCAACATTGGGGTTCGTCGACACACTACCCACGGCTCACGGCAATCCGACATGACCGCCATGCCGGATTTAAAGCCGAAATAATAGTGTAACCCGCGCATCTCCATGTTTGGTAGGTTTGGCAAGGCTGGTGTTTGGGTGAACGATTTCAGATGAGGGGTAAGTTCGGCAGATGTTAGCCAACCCCCCACGAGACTAAACATGGCTGCCGTAGGGTACGTGGGACCATCACCTTCTTTAGCACTCGTCATAGACACATCCGGCTATTCTCCGCGGGATAGTCCAATCTTGGATAACCATACGTTGTTTGTGGCTGTCGGAAGCCCGCTATCTCCTCACCATAGTCTTCACTTGCCTCTTTACATCCATGGCCCGATGCGCGTGTGCGGCGCAATCTGGTGGTTATAATCAAGTAACAAATGGGGAAAAGAAGCATCGATGCAAGACATCTCTTGTAATTTTCTAGGCATATAGTGAGATCTCCCATGTTTTGATGGTTTCACAGACCCTAAGAGTTTCTATGAATAAGTCGTCACATTTCCGACATGTACAGATTGGTATTTAGATGTACGGAGCTGAACTTGATTGTGGAATGGTCCACGTCTTAGACTTAATGTACTTCGAATCTTACCTTTCTAAAGTCTTCCCATGCTAGATAGAGTTCACAGAAAGTCATTCGGTTTCTGGGTCCAATCGAATTAATTCGCGAGAGAATATCACTTGGACCGGGAAGAAAGAGCCAGAACGTACTTCTAGTCTGCTGTCTCTAACGCACACATCTTTCGGGGTTGATCTTCAAGCCACAACTGAAATGTCGTCTTTATATGTAATCCTTCTTCTCAACAAACTCAGAATAGCTGAATCGTAGCACTTATTAAGAGCTCGTGGATTTGAGCATGAGCTTTTGAGTCTGATAGTACCAATTCGCCGACTCCAGGTAATGTGCCATAGGGTAGGTACACGGTAGAGTTTAGAAGCTAGAGGATGCGAAAGAATGATAACCACACTGCGAGTTGAGTGCACTTCAGAACTTGTACTTTTATTCAGTGTTGCCTACGTGAATATTACTGTAAAAGAGGGGTCGGATGGTGACTAGGTGCCAGTATTAACGAGATAATACCCATATCGAAGTGAAAACTTTCACTTCTCCTGAGTTTGATGATTGTGCATTGCAATGAGTGTTCGAGGTCTGTGACGTCAAAGTCTTCAAACTTTGAAGGTACAAATGATTCGGAATAATAGTGCTATTACGACCTAGGGGAAGCCAAGCACATAGAACAATATTGATTGCGGCCATTTCTTCAAGGAGGATCTTGTCACAGCGAACCACACAATATGTATGAGCCAGTGATTTGCTCTCGAGACTAGATAAGAAGTAAGCTGCAGTTGAATGCAGCCGCATCTATCCCATTTCATGAGCTTTTGCAAGGCCCGGTGTTCCTGTTATCCAATGGTATTCGCCATCGCTGGTTTCGTGGCATTGGGGATTCAATCCGACTTCGGACCAGGAGTCTCAGCATCTATACTTCCTCTGCCCGGAACGATTCGACGTGATTGGGGAAAGCTATTGTCAATCAGTTTAGAATCATGCTATTGTTCATATTGATCCATCCAACGCTGCCCGCGTAGCGATATCGTGGGGTTGGGAGAAGAGGCTGATGACGCCATCTGAGAACCGATAACGTGACGTTCCACCAGGATGGTGAAAACCGCAGAACAAATGCCCGTAACAGGCAAAGCCCAGGGAAGGCCCCTCATCCCCGGACCATCGCGACATCAGGAACCCAACCAAAAGGCATGGGATCTGCGTTAGATCAGATGTGTTCCTGGCGGTGACCGCTTGTTGGGAGATTGGCTTGCAGGTGCACTGATGAGAGGGCTTACCAAGCACGCAATCCTACTGTACAACTTACCAATCAGTAATGTACCGTTTTGTTGATCTACATAATTATATAAGACGGCCTTAGAATTCGTTTCATGGTGAATGTTTCGAAGCCGGCCACACAGACAATTAAACTCTATCAACTCTTATGAAAATCTGCCGCTCTACTCCCCGAAACTTCCGGTCTTCTCCTCAATTTCCCCTCATCTCAACACCGCAACAATGGCATCAGTCACCGTCTACGACGCAGTCATTCCCACTTTCACCAAGGGCCTCAAGACCTTTGATCACATCCTGACAAAGGCTGAGGAGCACGCCAAGGCCAACAACGTGGATGTCAACACTTACCCAGAGGCTCGTCTTGTTGAGGACCAACTCCCCCTCACATTCCAGGTCCAGAATGCGACAAAGACTGTCAAGACAAATATCAGCCGTCTGACTGGTGTTGAGTTGGAGCCGTACGAGAACACGGAGAAGACTATCGCGGATCTCCACAAACGCATCAAGGATGCTCTGGACCTCCTGAGTAAGGTCGATGCGGCGACTGTCAACGCCAAGGCTGACTCGCAAGTTGACTTGTAAGTGCTTGTCACATGAATTGAGACAGAATATAGAAGAGATATCTAACATCATCTAAGGCCTATCTTTGGTGGCAAGACGTTGAAGGTTACCGCGAAGGAGGCAGCTTTGAGCCATGGAGTTCCAAACTTCTTCTTCCACTTGAATGCAGGATACGCAATTTTGAGATCCAAGGGTGTTCCGGTTGGAAAGGCCGACTACCTCGGCAGTTTTGTTGCTCAGTAATGTCTGGGCTGTGGTTCTACAAAAGAAATTAATAAACTTGATGATACTGCGGGAGTCGGGCAAAAAGTAAAAGCCTTGGCCACGTAAAGATCCGGAGAAAATGTATTTTCAACAAGAACCTCAGCACACAGATGGCCACAGCTTACACCCATCAAGTCACAGAAGGAAAGAAGAAGCACACGGACAAAACAAGATGGCGGTCTACCATAAGATGAGCTTGTGCAGCAAAAAAATCATGCTGCTGGGAGTACATCATGAACGACCAACCTGGGACTCGAACCCAGAATCTTCGGATTAGGAGTCCGACGCCTTACCATTTGGCCAGCCAGCCAGAACTACAAGATCTGCCTTGCGAATGGTTGATTCCATCAGCAAACGTTGTGGAAATCATGGTCCAAGATTCAAGAGTCGGGTACGATTTGCTGCATTAGAATGGGTCGCAACGGAGCTGGGCGGGTCTGTAGTAATGTGAATACGTAATCCCTCATAGCATGCTTCACTCACTTTTCAATAGGGCAAGAGGAGTTGGAGTCTTACTCTCCGTATATGAACGAGAAGATGCAAAACTATAAGAGATAGTCGGTTCCGTTTTGATATTCGTACTCCTCCCTGAATGTGCGATGATTTCTGCGATTGATTGCATAGTTCAACCCTAGTCTCCCAAAGATTTGGAGAGGGTGATCACCTGACGAAGACTAAAGTTTACCAGTTGCGTGGGACAGCTCATCATGGGGGTAAATTAACAGGCATGCTGATCCTCCACGATGATAGCAGATTAAATTCTTGATGCGATTGGATTCTGGCTAACAAAGACATGAGGATCAGGAACAACAGTCTGACCGTCTTGACAAGCCGAATCGATCTTTATGGCTTCGCCGTGCCCTGTTCCCCTCACGCTCCAGGAACCGGACCCTTCTACTCCACTACACAGGGCCTGTCACCGGCGCAGCGCCCGTTGGATCGACCCGCAATGGATGACGAGTGACACACCAGGCGGACGTGCCAGGGGTTTCGGCGGGCTATTCTGGCTCGCGCGGTGGAATTCAGCGAGGAATAAGCGAATATTCCTTGTTCATCCCCAGGGAGTCTGCTGTATCCTCAAAAAAAGATGGTGTTTCCGCGCTTCCCCTCTCTGGAGACGTTTACCTAGTCTCGGGACATCAACGAGTCATTGATTGTTGTGACACCTTCGTATTTCTTTGAATTCTCATAAGCGCGAGAACATGTAACAATACAGCTGCCGTACTGCCCGGAGCCTGCCCACGGAGCAGGTTGCCTGTAAACGTTATCACGGACAGGCAGCAACAGAGACTGGCCGTACAGTCCGTGAGCCTCCCCTTCACGCCGTTGAGCGTCACATCGGCCAAGAAGATACATACCCGCGGGATTCCGGATCGGAGAGATGAACTCTATGCGCGGGCCTCAGTGAAGCTTGCCAACGATCGTTACAATCGGCTCAGATGCCAGCGGGATTTGCGCGGTGACGATCAACACGATGAAAGGGAACATTGATGAATTGATAAATAATGCATTGGCACCCAGAGAGACGATTGCCGAGGATGACTACAGGTGGCCGATGCTCTACCGAAGCCTTACGCACTGCCGTCTTGGGCTCATTTCGAGGCTCTTTGGGGTATCCCAGCATCTGAGAGCAGAAGAATGGCAGGCAGCACCACAGAAGCATTGGAGAAGATCAGGCTTATTCACTTTGAGTCTTGGATTCTTTGGCGCGATTGCGCAACTCATCGGAGACTCGGAATCTTCATTGTCTCCGCTCATTTCAATACGAGGGTGTGCACAATATGGCGAGAATGATGACTGATAGGACCAGCACGATGCTGCTTCATCCCCTCATCTACCGTAGGCGTTGCACCGCGATAGCCACTATTCGCTTGGAATCATGTTGAAGGGGCAAAGTGGAGGTGTCGAGGAGGAACGAAAACAAGGCACAAACGCATCTCGCGCGAAGGAAGCACGTTTCGCAACTGCATGAATCCACAGGATAAGCATTCTGTTCCTGGATCCCTCTCATGTAAGCTTACTCTACCTTACTCGGTGGAACTTTTCCATGCATCCTCCACGCACCACAGCAGCAGCACGTGGATTAACTGAGCAGATGAACGATTCAGTCCCTCCCCTGCCAAGTTAGCCAAGTTGGATGTGCAGGTGATGATGCAGAAACACCTTCGACAGCTGCTACAGCTCTTGCATCGCACATGGACCATGGGTTCCTGGAGATGCCCCCCTAACGGACAAAGGTGTCACAGGGAACAAACACACCCACAATTTTGGGATGCGATTCATTCACCCAAAACATCGCCTGAACTTGCGGAGCTCGACCCAAATTGCTTCCGGGCGTGTGTCGGACGACTGTTGCAACCTATTCGAACGTCTCACATCATTAAGAAACGTCCATCGAGCCGCAAAGGCCGGCTCGGATCCGGACCGCGTTTGACGGTTTGTCATTATTCTTCAGCGCTGACGGAGCCGTCAGAATGCAGGCATCCTCATGCGGCGATCTTCAACACCCTGTACTGCCCCGCGTGTCTCCAAAAAACACGTTCTAAGCAGACCCTTGGCGCTAAAGTCTGGTAAACGAAGTCCGGATGGAGTTTGGCTTTGACCCCTTCCAACTTTCATGAGCCAGTAGATCTCGCGAGACGAACCTTTTCTGGTGGACATTGCGCACCGACAAAGCCCAATTGCAAAGTTGCAAGATCGAAGTCGATGTCGTGTTGCATGCTTCGATAGAATATCTTACTCGTTCTTGTGAAATAGGCGTGTAGGATCGCAGTGATGATGAGCTCTCGGACCTCCCTACTGGCATGTCACTTTATGTTATGACTGGCGGCGGCGAAGGGAAAGGGGGCTGTCCTTGAGGAGCCTATAGTGGGACAAATGCTTCAATGGGCTTTACAATGAACTTATTAACCATGTCACGGGCTGACGTGACGCCCTTTTCTATAGTCCCTGCGATGAGCGGGGCTAGTTCCGGTCTCCGGGTGTCTCTCGAAATCTCTCCCATCTATAATTCGTCCGGATAGCCATGCTGATGCTCCCGGTAGGCTTCTTCTTTGAGCATACCCATCGTCTATCTGTATTGGACTTCGGGTGGCATGCTTGACACCAGGACCGTGCTCTGCAGTGCAGAAGGATGCACCTGTCAAACTTCTCAGCAGATTCTCCATATCCCACCTTGTCCGCCAATAAAGCCGCTGATCCTTCACTTCGCGGGGAACGCCACTGGCTCATCCAATGGCAATGGGCTGAAGTTTAATTCTCGTTGCCGCAGCTGTGGCTTGAATATGGTACGAAGAGAACAAACGATGCGTGGCAAGACACGCCATCGTCGGGCCAAACGTCGGAGCCAAACGGGCCTTTGTATTGACGGTCGTCCAAATCAAGTCGAGAGGCGTTGCAGAGTATTCGTTGCCCGTTTCCCCCCGGCTCGTCCCTCCGACGGCGTGGTTACGCTCAGACCCTCGTCTGCCAGGTTCTGACCAATGCGATTCATGGAGTGGCATGATTTACCAGATCCACGCTTCGAAGAGGCTGCCAGACTTGCCAGGCGTGCCAGGGTCCTTCAACGCCAAGCTGGAAAGGCTGGATTCGACGACGAGAGCGAAGAACAAGGAACTTGGGTGGACCCCCCCCCCTCTCTCACCGGCTCGGCCGCCGTCGCCGAATTTGCTTGGTTGAGTTGCAATAACGAATCTGCCCTCCCATACTCCGTAGTGAGTAATCGATACCGGTGAGAGCGCGGCTGAGACGTCCAAGGTCCTAAAATACTACCTCTTTCGTGCGAGAGCGAGAAAGTTGAAAAGAGATCCGGCCATAATTTTCATCTTTTCAGGTGATTTCCGTAGGCGAGTCGCTCACGGCATACTGTTACGCAAGAGGGTTGAGTATCCATCCATGATCAGCCTGGTCTTACGAAAAGGGACCTTTGAACTGTCTCTGTTTCACCCGATTCTGGAAGCCAAAGTCAGTCTGCCGATCAGATGAACAGATGATTCAGTCAAGGTCATTCGTCCATGGCTTTATTCAATATCTGTCTTCGTCCCGGCAGAAGGCTTCGCAGTCTATTTGATGCCCAATTTCGTTTTCCTGCCCGTCAGCAGCGATCGCCGATGCCTGGCAATTGCGCCAACAACCGCCAATACCTCTCAAATGCGAGTCAGCCGCGACCCTGGCGACATAAATCCCCGCGATAGTCTCCTCTTTCACCGAGAAGCGGACAGGAGTTACCCCGGTCCCTCTTCCGGGCTAGCAGGGACGGTATACGACTTTGGATACCCGGGGTTCGAGCCTACCACCCTGTCCAGCCGATCACCATTGGGCTATCTCTTTGACACATAGACATCGACTCCAACTCGGGGCCGACTCCCAAGTCCCCAGCTCCATATTTGCACATGCCAGGGGGTGGTCTGAGACACTGCAAGTCTCTCTATCAATGGCAGCTGAATCGCGGCGTCTCCAAAATGGCAGAAATCCCAGAATGCCTGCCGCCTTGGCCCGCGACAAGAGGAATGTAGTGCCGCCAAATCCATGCGCCGTCAGCGTGCCAGCGTACCAGCAAAGCCGGGAGATTGCCGTCATCTGCGCGTCGAGAATAACGTTGCGTCGCTAGGCTGGCAGACCTCCAACACCGCAGACTGTCCACTGCCTGCCACCCTCCTCTCCTATTTCCCACCTTCCGGGTGCAGTCTAACATGACGAATCGAAGGGCCGTTAGTTCGTCTAAACCTTCATAACGACACGCGGAGCCGTCCCGGCATAGCTTACGCGCTACGGCTTTTCCGCTAGTAAACAAGGTGTCACTCCCCATTTGCCAACTCGTTAGGTCGTCATGCAGGTGTACGAAACTGCACAAAGGGTGTCATCAGAGAAGAAGCCGCGACCGTTGTGCTAGTTCTGCCCAGCTGTCTTCCTGTCTTCCGAGCAGTCTACCGCGCGCACGGCTCCTGCATTGCGTTCTTTCTGCCCAAAGGCAATCGACAATATCCTTGGAAATAGATTCGTCGATCCCACAGTGGTCTCCACGTCTAAGCCATATGAGACACGGAATATCAAAATCCTGAGGGTCCCTCGAGCGTGCGAGGCGTGCTAGTGTAGCAGTCTTTGCGGGCGGCTCCTGCTCCTCGATGTCTCACACCCTCTCTATGTTCTACCCCTTTCTCGAGCCACACCCGCGCAAAGGTGCCCCCTCGATCTAAGACCAGTCGAGGCTGGCATAGCCAAGCTTTCGTCAATATACAAAGACAGCATCCCTCGGCGTTTAGATTCCCATGCTTTTCATCGTCCGACGTCCCACAACTATCCCCATCATCAGCCGCCGTCGAAAGGAACGAAAAAGCGCATTGCCACGTGCCAGTACTCGTGGACTACGACTACCAATGCTTCTTGATCCCACTATCAGCCAAGCATAGCTGTCAGCGTCGTTCAAGGGGAATTTGCAGGCAGCATGGAGGTCCCTCCAGGAATGAGCCCGGACGATTCGCGGGTGCCCATCGTCGTCGGCGTCACGAGCTTTGTGCTTTCAGTTGCCTTCCTGGCTGTATCAATACGAGTGTACACCAGAATATTCGTGATACGGCAATTTGGTATGGATGATTGGGCATCTGTCTTTGCTTTTGTAAGTTTTGGAAAGCCTTATCCATCCATTTACCCTGATTCTGATCATACTTCCATAGCTGTTGGTTCTTGGATGTGGCTTGGCTGTCGCACTGAGTAAGTCATACATATATATCTACGACTACATTCGATGGTGTCTAACAGCTTGAAGACACCAGAAATGGTCTCGGTCACCATGTTTACTTTCTTACTTCGGAACAAATTCAAGACTACATGAGGGTCAGTTAATATCTTGTACGATTCACTCCGCACATCTGTTAACACTTCGAAGACATTCTACGTCACCATTGTATTCTACAATGCAGCTCTGGCTGGTATCAAGATGACATTTCTCTTCCAATACTACCGAGTCCTGGCTGTCCAAAAGATGAAGAAGGTCTTTATTGCGGCGATGGTAATTGTCGGCGCATGGAGCATTTCGCAGATCCTTGTCGAGATCTTCATCTGTACCCCTATCCCGGCATTCTGGGACAAGACCATCGATGGCAAATGCATCCCGAACTACCCACAGTGGTACATCAACGCGGCAGGCAACATCATCACCGACATCATTGTATTCGTGCTGCCGCTTCCGGTCATTCACCGACTAAATTTAGCACGAGGCCAGAAATATGTCCTGCTTGGAATCTTCTGCCTGGGCTTTTTGTATGTCTCGCCCCATGATTACATGGCCATCTCGGGCTCTGACTGATAACTCGACAGCACATGTACCATATCATTCATTCGAATCCGATTCCTCAAGCTCGAAGAAGACTTCACTTGGCAAAATGTCGAGACCGCCGGCTGGTCCATCGGCGAACTCTGCTGTGGCCTCGTTTGCGCTTGCCTCCCGACGTTCCGACCTTTGGTATCTCGGTTTATTCCCGCCCTCTCGAGCCGTATTGCGAAATCCTCGAAATACCACAAGAACGGAGACTATTCTGAAAACACCGAAAGTACCTCACGCCACCGCGATCCCGAGCTTGGCGGGACACTTGGCAACCCGAACCACTACTCTGCCCGCTACTCGAAACGTCGAACTGGCTCAGCGGATAGCAAGGCTGATCTCTATGGCATCGCCAGCTACGATTTGAGCCATTCTGATGCGAGCCGCGAGGCAGGGCTGCCCATCCGAGCTTCCAGAGACAGCCCGGATTTCACCAGTCAGACCGATAAGATGCCGTCTCCATTACGGCAACAGGAGTCTATCGAATTGGGCGGGTATAGACCAAATCACCACGCCATAGTCGAAACAAGAATCGAAGCGGGAAGGAGAGTCTCTGATGACGAGATCGAGCTGCAGCCAGGAGCGCCGATCGAGGTCAAGTGTGATATTGTGCAGGTCTCTTCACAGAAAGTTGAGGCAAGGGGATTCTCATAAGCCAGCTGCTCTACAAATAGTGATGCATTGATAAGGAGAAACTTTGAACCATTCAGAGACGGCCTGTTAAGCCCAGAGATTACGTTGGCGTTGGAGATATCACTCTTTACTTACTAGATACCATTTTCTTTATTATTCAACATGGGCGGCTGATGTCGGATATTGGCTCGGGCTTTTGGCAAGATATTCTTATAATTACTATCACAAGGCCATTCTATTCTACAATCCCAGATTTTTCTCTCCATTGCTATACTCGGTGACTATTGAAGTCTCTTGTGCGTGGGATCTTAGTCCATCAGCAATGTCGATCATCCCTTTTTGAGGGCATCCTGGACCTTGCCGGATGCCCGTGATCAAAGTAGCAGGGGTGAATGATTAACACCTTTAGCCTAAATAACTCCCGTCTTTGCAACCACAAATTGGGACCCGATCGGTCTCTACTCCATGTCCTTGTGACCATGATTAATGGCCCGAGGTTTCTTCTAGTAGCAGCTTCTTCAGCCTCTGCCGCTCTGCTAAGATAGCAACAGAGCGACTGCTTGCCACCAGAGGAGAGACCCATATACCTCTTAGATCGACTGCGTCCTCTCAACGGCGAGGTGTTATGATGATGTTAGCTTTTGGTCTCACGAGAACAAAAGAATCTGTCGCTGTGTAACCCTGCCTTGCCTCAAGATCGGAATCCTCAAATTCCATGTCCATCTCCAAGAATATTGCTGCCAAAGCTAGAGACATCTCCATGTAGGCCATTCTGGTTCAAAGTCAACCATGGTCTGTTAAAAGGCGAATTGGGATCCCTTACGTTCTTCCAAGACATGCTCTCGGGCCTCTGGAGAAGGGAGAGAAAGCAGATTTGTCCTTTACCGCGGACTGCCCGTCGCCGATCCAGCGTTCTGGCATGAAGTCGTTAGGTCGTTCAAAATAGATTGGGTTTCTATGCATCGCCATGTTTGCAACGCCAATTTCCGTCTGAGAAGGGATGACGTCAATGTCCGCACTCTTGAGGTTGGGGTGGACGATAATATCAACTTACTCCCACTGGCAGAGGTATGCCGTGGAGAACGAAAGCACCATCGGATTGGAGGACCTGCCTCGGAATGAAACCCGCATTTGGTGGGAAGATTCTCAATCCTTCCTCTATCACAGCTCTTAGATATGGCAGGTGCTGAATCTTGTGGTAGCTCAACTCATCGTGCGTCGTGACTATAGATCTGACCTCCAAGGCCAGCTTGTCGTATGCATCTCTATGGGCCAACAAATGCCACAATATTGTCAAAAGCGCTGTAGATGTGGTATCAGACCCTGCCACAAACATGACGATCGCTTCGCCGAACAGCTCGCGATCGGGAAAGGGCGTGTCGGTGGTAGGACTTTTGGCCGTAAGGAGGTAATTAAAGATGTCTTGCCTGCCGGAGGGATTCTGTCTCTGTTTGATCATGGCGCCAATGGCCATCTGGCCATTTCAGTCTCAGATGCTGCTTGAGACAGAAGTTAAACTCACCTTTGCTGGATAGCCTCGAGTCGTAGAGCTGTATGAGAGCTTTCGAATCATGCGCTGCAACAAAGGCCATCTCCAAAGAGTACCCTCCTGAAAATCTCTCAGTCAAAATGCTTAAAGCATCGAAATAGTTGAAGGCGATTACTCGTACCAATGAGACAAACTTTGCCGCTTGCACTAAACCATCGCTGACCTTCGCCTTCTCTGTAGGGTTGCGAAGCAAGTCAAACGTTTCGCCAAAACAAACGTCCGATAAGATGTCAATCGTCAACGCTGATAAACAATCATCCAAGTTCACCTTGCCTTGACTTTTCATCACCTCGCAAAGCTTCCAAATATGCCCCATAAATGCTGGTTCCATAGCGTCTAGCTTCTTCTGAGAAAATGCTTGAGAGAGGATGGACTTCTTCTCTTTGTACGCAGCACCTATCGAAGAGAAACTACTTTGAAAGCCTGGGGTGAAGCTCTGGTAGAATGGCGATTTGTCGATTGGTGATGTCGCCGAGTAAACCTTCTGATAACCTTCCGTAGTGTTCACGGAGATCGTGCTCGGGCCCAGACGCACCAAAGGACCTAGCCATCTAAGTTAGCCAAAATCACTGAGAGCAATAGATTATAGTGATTACCGTATTGATCATGGAGTTTACAGAGCGTTTCATGTCTCATGTCTGTGTATAGCTGGTATGCGTGCCAAAAGTCGTTCAATTTGGCCAAGAAAGGCCCCGGGACTCGAGCCAGAGGATGGAAGAGCACATTGTAAGTGAGAGGGATGGTAAGCTACTAGAGTGAGCCTTGAATGCATTGTTTTGTAGATGTCCTCATGCGTGGTTTAACATACGAAACATATGATTGTAAGGATGACGGCAGCGACTTGGAGGCTGGGATCGTGCCAGCTAGCCGTTGCTTTCTGAGTCTCCATGGTTCATTCGGACTTGTGTTTGTTGGTCCGTTGAGTCCTGGGCGACGGCTCGAAGAGTGGCAATAAAGAGACAACATGTTCTCTTCCCCGTGATACTGTGATTTATAATTTCTCCTTATTAGTCTCTCTTTTCCTCGTAGACCAGACGGAGTACTTACCACATCGCCAATGGCACCTGAGTACAAGGATCGAGGATCCGCGGTCTAGCGCGGGGACCGCTCTCGACTGCCGAACTCAAAGAACGCGGCATGGCACGGAGAGCGGTGACCGCTGTGGGGTCTACCTCTGCCCAATGCTGTTTGCGCCCTATTATCCTTCTCCCGTCACCATGCAGCTTCCCAATCACTTATGGTGTTTTAAAATCATCACGTTGGGGAACATGAGGCATAGAGGACGTGAAGCTTTTTCTCAAACGATGAACTTTATAATCACCTAGTTTGAAGGAATTCTGACCTAGCCGGCATATTCCAATGTTCCGTGCCTAACAGCATCCCCAATGGTCCTTGCTATCACAGTTACAACGCCAGGACCACAGGCTAGCACGGATCCCACGGCGTTCAAGTGTTGCCTGTGAATGTGACTGTGTTCTTGACTCTAGAGTTCTTTCCTGACTTCGCGTCGATGTGGCCTGGAGACGATGACTTGCTCGCCGGGCAATTGGAGCCATCTCAATCGTAAACTTGCCTCCTTCAACATGATTCCGTCGTTGCCAGCATGAGTACAACAACGCGCCGAGCCGGTCGGCTGCCATCTAGCTGCGTCAATTGCAGACGGCGCAAGATCAGAGTGAGAATTGGAGCTACGTCAATGACTGAGTCGCGTACTGACTACAAGAGTGCGACAAACCGACATCCCGATCCTGTCACCGGTGTGAGCGGCTCGGATTAAATTGCGTTGTCACTGATGAAGCCAGCATCCGGCCCTACTATCACACTTCGAAGGAGCAATTCGAACTGATGGCCGCCATTGTCCGGCACTATGCCCCTGGTATCCCATTAGGCATTGACGGCCTGCGCACTTTCGTCAGCACGCTTCAGGTGGCACCACAAGAGCCTGAACTTCCCACAGAACTTGCACAGCAAGGGCCACCTGCGAATACTTCGTCATGCTTACCGGGTGGTGGCGGTCACTTACTACCAAGTGTCACTGCCAAGGACTCGGTATCGCCTTTGTCAGAGGGCTCGTTCATTTCAGATGCAACACGCCAGCGAAGTGAGTAAGCGGGCGATTGGGTCTGATGAGAAGCTCTAGTTGACTTGTCGTCCACCAGGATTCAACGGTGTCTCGAGCTACGCGGTCCTTCAGTCCAAAGTCAGCCTGTGCATCACACGAAGCTTTCCTCGGCTCGCGGCGCTGCAACCCAGTGGCACCTTTGACTTGCGTGAAGGCGAGCCGCTGTCGAATAAACCGGATGCAGCACTTCCCGACAGGAAGACATGCGAAAGATGCAGCGTGGTCTTTCTTCGCTTCATCAACTGCGTGTTTTACGTCCTCGGCCCAGAAAGGCTTTTTGATACAATACTTAGAGCCCACGGAAACGTAGACGTAAGTGTGTCAACTCAAGCTATGATTCAGCTCATCGTTGCTCTCATTGACGACGATCCACACCATTTTGAGCTTGCGTCAAAGAAGATGGAGAGTGTCATCGAGGAGGGGAGTATTGAGAGTATCCAGGCTATCATTGTCATGGTCGGTAACAAAACTGCTCTTCCCTGTTTCACTGATCAAGAGCTCGGCTAATGCAGCTCACTGAACTTAGGCTTTGTACAGGCTAAAGAAAAACCAGCGGAACACTTCTTGGGTCGTTCTCGGCAGCGCCATCAGAATTGCCCAGTCACTAGGGTTGCACGTAACGACTGATGACGAAAGTCCCCTTTGGGCGGAACAGAAAACCAAGCTTTGGTGGTCTTTATGCGACTTGGACCAGTGGTTCACCAGTGTTCTAGGGAGATCGTTAGGAATCACTGTGGATCTGAGCGATATCGATTCGCCATCAGATGTAATCCAGCACATGCCGATGAAGTGCGATCTTCAACTAACATCGCATTACAGAACCTCATCGGAGCCCCAAATATGCCGCCCATGTATGCCTTCGCCTCAGCACGCCTTACACGGCTTCTTTCTCGTACTCTTCAGTGCAACTCCGAGAAGCGTCACGATAATGGCAATGATATCGACCAATTAATTCAAGATCTCTACGGTTGGTGGGAGAGCCTGCCTCAGCATCTGACCATACATGCAGCAGCAATCCCACCATCATTGTTGCGCGCCACATTGTACTTACGGTTGAGATACCAGTGCATCGTCGTCTTATTGACTCAATCGTACCTGTTTAATGCTACTTTTTCAGGGTTCGAAGCCGACCATCGAATGAACATCTGCGAAGAGAGCAACGATAAGACTATTGCAACACTTGTCGAGATGCACGAAAGGGATGTCCTTACCAACCACCTCTGGTTTGATTCGTACCATACAGTAACCTGTGGACTGGTGCTTCTAATCAGAATCATCAAGAATCCAGCGTCTGTTGATCTGCGAGATAAGGTGGTAAAGATGAGGAACTTACTTCGAATGTTTCCGGACAGATTACACGCTTTTGCCGTTCAGTGTTTTGATAAAGTGCTCGAAGACATTGAGAATCACCAGTGAGTTCTATAGCTTGGATTCCTAATTACTTTCTAACTTCTCCAAGGCCGGAAACGACAACATCTGACAGCAGTATCATCCCTTTCGAAACAGGATTACCCGATTTGGACTTGTGGGAACAGCTAGGGTTCTCTGAGTCTAATTTCGATTTCAATCTCTAGTAAGATGCGTGCACCTCAGATGACTTTGTTTCCATAGAAGATAAGAAAGTCCAACGCATCGCGCACCTGCGGCCATCCGGGGTCATCCACACCTAGGCCAGCATCAAAACCGTGAGATTGGCCTGGAATCAAAGAAATACGCGCCTTCACTCCCATGTCGCTCAGCTCCCTGCAGGCCCTTTCGCTGAAGGCACTGGGAATCAAACCATCCGTGTCTCCATGCACAAAGAAAGTTGGGGGGAATTTTGGGTGAAACCCCCTGACAGGGTCGACGCAGTCGAGGTCGTCATCCTTGACGATGGTCTTCATCTGTGTTCCGTCTCTCAATGCTGTGAATAGCCAGGCGTTTCTGGGAACTGATAGATCGGGTGCTGGCATGCCCCTCTTTATGACCACATCTTGAGACGCAGCTGCCTTTTCTAAGGATATGGCAGTGGTCGTCATGACTGGCTCATCAAAAATCTTGTCGGTTAACGCCTGAGGCAATGTCGGAATTGCAGCTAAAGCAGGCAATGGCATGTGCCAGAATTCATCACTGACGTACTTGACGCCGTAAAAATCAAGAATTGCCCGGGGGGGTTCCTCCAGAGCGCCCTGTTCACAAGATGTTGAGTTTTGGTCATCAGACGGGGATAGAAACTATCAGTTACTCACTAAGTGTAAAGCTAACAGTGCCCCGGCAGACTGGCCGAAAACCACAGTCTTTCGTGCGTTGATCCTCAAGCCAGTGTCCGCTTCGAACTTCGCCGGAAACTCTGTCTTGCACCAAGAGAAAACGTCGATAGCATCTTCGATCACTTCGCGTAAGGCAACCTGTGGGCAAAGTCGATAGTCGGCTGATACGACAATGAAGTTTGCATCGGCAAGATAGCCAACTTCAACCTCTGGCAACGAGTGCCTGGATCCTATCACAAAACCTCCTCCATGAAAAGCCAGAGCTGGGAACATTCAGTCATACAGCAGTCGACACGATCGACTCGGAACTCACCAAGCCCCTTTGGCTCCTCGCTATTTGTGGTCTTCCAGTAAGCCGTTGTCTGAATCAGCGTTTCGCCAACCTCCTTGAAAACGTAGTCTTTGCTGGAAGTCATGACCACTGTCGGTCGGCTTTTAGGATTGGTTTGGACTTCGTCGTGTGTTTTGCATATAGTTCAAGGATAGTAACCCTGCGAATTCGCGACTGGAATTTGCTGTAGTTGTTGAATGTTTACTATCGTCAAAGACCATCTTGTATCAAGTTCAATACCCCTGATATATACAGTTCCCCTTTCTACCCGGTCATCATATCGACCGAACGCACTGCCAAAACCGAAACCTTGAAGGCAGTCTCCGTCCTAGACCACCAATCAGAGAACCTCTGTACTTAACCTGGCATCCCTGGTCGACCGGCAGTTCAATCCCGCCTCGGTCTCCGCCCCCGCCATCTCCGCACAGCGGTCGCCGTTGGAAAGTGTGACAGCGTCGGTGTTCGGCAGATAATACAGAGTTCAGAGCGTCAAGGAGGAAAGGCCTGGGGATCGATTACTGCACTTTTTGATGCCGATCATGGTGTTTCATTTACAACTACCCGTAGTCGGTTTTGGTTACCAGAAGTAGAGTAGTACACCCGAAGACGTTTGTTGTAATGATGCCGGGCCACCCGAATAAGTCGTCCGGTAGTATAAGTATCCACCGAAAGACGGACGAATTTCTCGGGCAACCCCAACGGTGGAGCAAATCCAGATCGCAAAATGCCTGACCTTTCTGAGTGTTTGAAGTCCCTTAAAGCACAGCAGGAGACGAACTTCCCTTCAACACCATTCTTTGATGGGCCAGAAGCACCTTGCCGTTTCGAAGCAGAAGTCTACAATTGCATCGTCCGCGGCTCAATCCCGCAAGAGATCGACGGAACATACTACCGTTGCATGCCCGACTGGTCCTGGGCCCCTCTTTACGAAGACGATGTTTTCATTAACGGGGATGGCGCCATAGATGCAGTTCGGATCAGGAACGGCCACGCCGACTTCAAGCAGAAGTATGTGCGCACTGCCAAGTTCAACATAGAGAGGGCAGCGAGGCAGTCAGTCTTTGGCAAATATCGAAACCGCTACTCAGATGACCCGAGAGTGAAGCATGAGGTTCACTCGACTGCGAATACGCATATTGTGTATTTCGAAAATCAGCTGCTGGCGTTGAAAGAAGACTCAAGGCCATATGCCATGGATCCTGACTCACTGGAGACCAGAGGTAGGTTTTAACGACCCAACTGGTCGCTGCATACCTGTTCACTACGTGCAACTAATTCAAATTTGAAGGGCTGTATGACTTTCATGGGCAGTATTCAGCTCCAACCTTCACTGCGCATCCAAAAGTTGATCCCGACAACGGAGAGTTAATCACTATGGGATATGAAGCTAAAGGTGATGCGACAAACGATGTGGCATACTATCTCTTCGATGAGAATGGGAAGAAGCTTGAAGAATGTTGGATCAAGACGCCTTATGTGGGAATGATGCACGATATGGCAGCGACCAAAAATTGGATCGTCTTCGTGCTTATTCCACTCGAGACACAGCCAGTTGAGATACTGCAGCAGGGATCGAAGCATTTCGCATGGGCTGAGGACAAGCCCCTGACCTTCGGTCTTCTGCCACGGCGAAATCCTAAATCTGAAGATGTTCGGTGGTTCAACTTCGAGAACACTTTTTACGGGCACACCGGAAACGCTTTCGAAGGCGAAGACGGATGTGTTTATCTCGACGCGCCACTTACCCACCACAACAAGGTGTGTGTTCCGTATGGCCGTCTCTCAAAAACGTCCTTTAACTCGTGCAATAGTTTTGGTTCTTTGGCCCACAAGGCGAGGACCCATTTTCTCACCCGAGCGGCAAAGCAGCGGTAGGACAACCTGCTAGTAGCTATGTGCGCTGGAAGCTCGATCCCAACGCAACAAGCTTCCAAGTTGAGCCGACCGAGCTAGTCGCCCTCGATGGTGAAATGCCCAAGGTTGATGAAAGATTCGCAACCAAAGCCTACAGCAAACTGTTCCTATGCGTTCACGATCCAAAGGCCAAGTACAGCCCTGTAGGTGGGACCTACAACACCATTGCAGCTGCAGATATCAACACCGGGAAGTACACTCACTGGTCTGCCGGAGAACATACTTCTCTGCATGAGGTAGCATTCTTACCAAGGTCCCCAGAGGGTGAGTCTTTCATTCAGCAATACGAATCACGCGGGCGAGGGGTTTACTAATGTGTCCATAGCTGCGGAAGGAGACGGCTTCCTTGTAACCATCGCGAACAGACGAGATGTCAGACTGTCCTGCATTTTGATTCTCGACGCCAAAGACCTTGCATCAGGTCCCGTAGCAATCATTGAACTCCCTTTTCGGCTACGTAATGGTATACATGGAAGCTGGGTACCGTGTTCGGATTTGTTGCATGATAAAGATCTCTGTGATATGTCTGGCGTAACCACAGAGATTCGGCAGAAGTTTGAGGGTATAACCGTTCAGCCAGCCTTACGAAAGTAAGGTGAAGATGACAGGAAAGTCTACTGTGTAGAGATCTTGGAAAGCGACTATCTGAAAGTCATCCCAGTGCTGAAAGTAACATATGTCTGTCTCTTGCGTCTCATTGATCACTAGTTGAATTAGCACGCTGCCACAGGACTTAGGATGAGTCGGTGTCTTCTTTCCTGCCAAAGCGCACAAAGAAACTATTGCTATTAGCGAAAAGAAACAATTTCGTTATAAAGCCATGCCTTCAATGTTTCGCACTCGACTCCTAGACCTCTCTACCCCCTCTTTGGCGCTGTAGCGAAGATGTTCTTCAACTTGTCGTCTAGCCACTTGACATCTTCATAGTTCCCCGGGGGTCCTCCAGCCCAATGGCCCCAAATGGAAGGGTAGACAGCCAGTTCACCGACACCTTCACTCATACACTCGACCTCATATTCAGAGTCCTCGGGTCTGTGACTGTTAATATTAATTTTGGCGGTATTTAGGGCAAGATTCTTACGGGAAGTAGAGGTCAGTCTTGGAGGGCAGCACCAAAGTCTTGGCCTTGATGCTCGCCATGGCCTTCTTGAAGTCGCCATGATATGGCTCTTGATTGCTGACATCGGCACTTTGCCACGTGTGAATCATGACAAGCAAATTCTCCGGGTCCTTGCTAAGAGCCCACTTCTCCCAAAACGATTGCATGAAGTCCTCGAGATCCTTGGCTCCGTAAAACTTCTTGTGCAGCTCATGTCGGTAAAATGCTTGGGAAAAGCCCCATCCGGCGTACCCACGGCCAAAAGCTTTCAGACCAACGTTCTTCTCCTCGCCTGACCAGACCCGGGCAGACTTGTTCTCGGTTGATGCAATGCGTCCTAGAGTGCTGCCGGCTGAGCTAGTCTTCTTTGCCGCGAGAAGCGCCGACTTGACGCCTTCCAAGAAAACTTGATTATGTAGGGCGCACTTCGCGGCGCCACAAAATGGGACTGCAATATCCAAGAAGTCGGGATATTGCGTCGCCCATTGGAAAGATTGAGCCGCGCCCATAGACCATCCCAGGACGGCTCTGAGATGGGTGATCCTGAGTTCCTTGGTAACCAATTCGTATTGAGCCTTCACATTATCGAAGAAAGATACATCGGGAAATGGATTGATGTCTGAGTTAGAAGGGCTGATGGACTGTCCGTTGCCGAACAGGGCCGGAATGACGATAAAATAGTCAGTCGGATTCAAGGTTTTGTCGCCTCCCACTAGCCATTCGTTGTCCGCAATAGCGCCGGAGTACCAGGTAGGATAGACAACCGCTGGAAGGAATGGGTCGCCAAATGTCTTGTATGCGATCCATGCTCCTGGCAACGAACCACCACTTTGAAGAGTGAAGTCTCCAAGCTGGTACTTCTTGATGTCAGACATGTTTGGTTGGGAGGAAGGAGGTTCAAAGTGGAATGGGTCAATAGCCGTACCCCTCAATTCAAAGAAAGAGAAACTTGGGAGGTGTATTGAGGTTCAAGAGCGCCGTGAAAGCAATAAGGATCACATACCAAAAGCAGTCTTATCTTTCTTTCGTCATGATATGCCGCCGGCGATGTGAGGGGAAGCAGGGGTCAGCCGATTCAAGCCGTGAGACCCGTGACCGGTGCCGGACCGACCCCGCATTTTATGTCGTCCGCTCCCTACGTTATCTGCAGCCATCACCAACGCCAGAAGCCCCGATAACCTTACATTACGATAGACTTCTGTACCGACGAAAGAGAAGAGTACCCTGAGAGTCAAGATTGAGCGCACTCATGTGCTGACGGCAACATCACGTAACCTTGGCATCAAAAGGTTGAGTATGGGTTCTCCGTGAAGGAAGCCTTTCCCCACAGCCGTGTCTAGCAAGGCAAACAAACACCTCCAAGCAGCGCTGAAGCTTGAACTTTCTACTCTGCGATACGCCAGGTCGCTATCAACGTCCAATTCGGGGTACCAAGGTATCTAGGATAAGGCTGAGCTCGGCCGCCTAGACCGTTTTATCGCCCGCTTGGTGGTGTACTGAGTGATGCACTTGTGGGATATTTGCCGTAATCAACGGAGATTAAGAGAGAGGTAGATCCAAAGAACAGAGGACGTATATGCAGGTCTTGGACTCTTGCTCTAGTCCTTTGTTTCTTGGTCTCTCATGACCAGGCAACCAGATGGTAGACATTTCTCTGCCACTTCTTTCTCCGAGCGGGGTTTGTGTAGTGATAGAATCCGAATCTAACAGGCAGGGGTAACTAGACCGAAAGCAAATATGTCATTGCCAACCACCTCAGGGCATGCAAGTTGACGGGAGAAGAAGACGGAATGATTAGTAGAGGCTTTTATGTCCAGCAGTACCGGACGATCGAGCAGACTACTGGTCGGCATAGGATGACTTCATTTTATGTCCTTTTAGGCCACTCATAGGTGTGCTGCCAGTATGGATGATGGACAAGAACTTGGGCCATGCCACCGAACCATTCTCAAATCAGGCTGCCCGACTATTGGAGAGATGGAAGAGTCGTATCGATAGTCAACGGGAGACCTGTAGATGCTCGGATCAACACCTCTAGGAGTATCTAAAGCCACGAGTTGTTAGCAAAGCCCGTACCACAAAGATATGTAGCAAGACGCATGCGCCAAGTAACAAGGACCACCCACATTGAAGATGGAATGACAAGATTCCGAGAACTAGTGTGCTTCGAGGTTGTAAGCCCTCAAAGGTGTGGCAAGCACCCTGAATGCTGGTCAGTCCGCGCATCGACAATTGCTCAAACTATTGGCTGACTGAGAACTGATTCGAAGCTCGTAGCAATCGGTGATTGAGCCAAGCCCCGACTTGGTTTCTGAAGATCATCTGATATCTCTCGAGATGCAGATCAAGACCACGAGGATAGCTGGTGCGGTCGTCATTGATGGTCTTGACTCTTCGTCCGAGGTCATCCTCCCTCCCTCGATCAACACGGACACTGTTCCTGAATCGAATCAATGTATCAAATTAAAACTAGCCGGGAATCGCTTCCAAAAGAGTGGAATTCCTAGATGGATGTAATGTTGGCTTTGATTAACCCACCTTCTTCTTCAAGACATGTCGGTGGCTTTTCCGTATGGTCGTTCGGAGACGGCGGAAACAGTTTCATTCGTGCAAAATAAGTCAGCCGCGAAGATCGCCACATGACCCGGGCGATCTGAAGAGTTCGACAAAATGCCGGTCGATATCAGGGAAAATTCCGATAGCCGTCGGACGAAACGGTATCAATGCAGATGCTGACCTTTTCGGTATTGGATAGTGCAGAAGCCATGAACGCCGCTATTGAGTTGGTGAAAGCATGGAGCGAGTGCTGATCCGCTGATTCTGGTCAGAGATCGCAAACGACTTTGAGTTGTAACCCGTTGGCAAGATTGTTCCGCCGGAATACAGCTGTCTAGACGTACGTAGCTACCTGCTGAATCCTCGTTCTGGAGGATCTTGCTCTCTCCTTCGTCTTGCGAGCCAGGCGTATCCCCCTTGATTGTGGATTTCTGCTGATTGAATACGAGCCGTTTGATGTTCAGGTCCCAATCTCCCGCGTTGTAGAATGCCAAGGTTGATTCGATATAAACGTCTTGGCGCTATCGGCTCAGTTGGATTGAGGACGGTGGTTACTTGTAAGAGGCGAGGAGGAGGCCACGCCCTGAACGGGCAAATCAAGCCCGTCATTGTCTTTTGTTCTCGTGCTTGGTAAGAAGTAAGAACATGGTGGAGTGGGCAGTTCAACCGCGCGATGATTGGAAAGCAGAGTTTAGCAGTGCAGAATGCCAATATTCGCAGTCTTGGCAGCTAATCCCCCTTTTCAATAGTGCAACATGCCAAGGTTGCGGGTAGATGCACAGGACAATGGCCGCCCCTCTCACTTCTCTCATTATGACGGGCATGCTGTCTTAAAGTTATAGAGTTCGCTGCTAAGTGATCGCAATGTGCCGGTAAGTTACAAGGAAGTAAGCTGTAGGAGTTTTGTTTCGCATCTGTGTTGCTTTATAGTTGAGAACTCACCGTAAGATGGGCTTTTAACGTGACGTAAAAGGTGTAAAGAGGTGGGAGTCGGTCACCAACTCGTTGGCAACTCGCTATGAGCAACCAGGCCAAGGGTCATCCCCACACACTCATCATGACAATGCGCCCCCATCAGATCAGCAGCGCATCTGCTCAGATAGGCGACGCCATCCGTTGTGCGCACGGCGATGCTTTACTTTGAGTTATTCCTCCAACGACCAGTCCTCGTTCATTTAGACAGCATCTTGGCGTTCATCTATCTCTGGGGTGCCGCGCGCAAAAGCCACTCACCCTGCTGATCCGAAACATAGCAGCTGTACAACTCTGGTGCAGGGTCACACCTTCAGCGTTACTGCGGATGGCTGCCCAGCTGGGGCGGCACTGGTTCAGTCTTCTGCCCTCGGTGGGTTCAGCTAGGCCCTGCCAGCAACAGCCGAATGAGCCTATTCGCAACCCCTGTACTCCCCAACCCCACCTGGCCATGCCAGAAGACGGGCAATGCCAGAGAGAAATCATTCTCTCGCGTTCTTTTAGGAAGTGAAGTTGCGCCCAGTCGTCTGGTTCTGGGACCCTGGTCGCTATGGGACGAGCCAAGACATCAGTCTCCCTTACTCGCGCCGTTCATCTCAATGTAACGGCCGCGCTAGAGGCCAATCACCTCTTGCTGTATCCGTCGACCAAGGCGACTTTATCGACAGAATTCCTGTTCAGTCTCTCCGACACCCTGCCATTTTTGCAAGATTATCCTGATATACACAGATGGCGAAATAAACAAGGGTCTCGATGAGCTCAAGGGATGCCCTTAGTTGGAAACGCCCAGCAATGCAGTTGTCAACGTGGAGCCGTGAACCGGCCTCCTTCCAAGTTCCCACAACCACCAATGGCACCATCTTCCCTCAATGTAAACAAGAAACAGAATTCGGCGCTTGTATCTTATATATAAGACTCTGCCGTCGACAGGTCGGACCACCAGTTCTTCCCTCTCTCTATCGCGCCTTTTAAGTCTTTCATTCTCTTTCCTGTTCATCTCATTCCATTAACTTCGGTAGTGCCAGTCACCCGCTTCACGACCTCAACCTCTTATTTCATCCGAACCGACTCCTTAACCAGTCTTTTTACCTATCCAACACTACCAAGATGAAGTTCTCAGCTGTCACCTTCATGGCTGCTCTGGCCGCGGCTTCGCCTGCCAACATCGTCACCGCCCGCAACGAGCTTGCTCTCCGCCAGGCCGCCGAGGCTTGCAACATCGGCTACTGCACCCAAGGCGGAGGTACCACTGGTGGTGCCGGCGGCTCCAGTGTTACTGTCAAGACTGTTGATGAGCTCGTTGCTGCCGCTAAGAAAGAGGGTCCCCTTACCATCGTCATCTCCGGTGCCATTTCCGGCAGCGCCAAGGTCCGCGTGTCTTCTGACAAGACCATCATCGGAGAGAAGGGCAGCTGTAAGTATCCTTAAGGTTACAGTCATCGCCTCTTACGCGCTGTTATACTAATGTCAAATATCGTTGCAGCCCTCACCAACGTTGGTCTGTACGTCCGCCAGGTCAAGAACGTGATTATCCGCAACCTGAAGATCGGCGGTGTCAAGGCCAGCAATGGTGATGCAATTGGTATCGATGAGTCCACCAACGTCTGGGTTGACCACTGCGACCTTTCTGGTGACTTGAGCGGAGGCAAGGATGACCTAGATGGTCTCCTCGACATCTCCCACGGTGCTGACTGGATCACGGTCTCCAACGTTTACTTCCACGACCACGTAAGTCCCGTTATGACATCGGCTTCTGTCTCTTGGTTCTCAACAAGTTCGAAACTAACAACAAAACCAACAGTGGAAGGGATCTCTGGTCGGTCACTCTGACAGCAACGGCAGCGAGGACAAGGGCAAACTTCACGTCACCTACGCCAACAACCACTGGACCAACATCAACTCCCGTACTCCCCTTGTCCGCTTCGGTACCGTCCACGTCGTCAACTCTTACTACGACAAGCTCCTGCTCACCGGCATCAACTCCCGCATGGGCGCTCAGGTCCTCGTCCAGAGCACCGCCTTCAACAGCTGCCCTGCCGAGGCCATCTTCTTCGCCGACTCTAAGGAGACCGGCTACGCCGTCGCTGAAGACGTCGACCTCGGTGGCTCCAAGAACTCTGTTCCCAAGGGAACTCTCACCTCTGCCTCGCTGCCTTACAAGATTGCCGCTCTCGGCTCCGGCAAGGTTGCCGGTTCCGTTCCCGGCGCTGCTGGCCAAAAGTTGTAATTGGATCGTCAGCCGGTTTGGATGTCGTAATTATGGTGGGATGAACTGAAATTTCTTTGTACATACTTGACTCAGTATATGTGAGTGACGCCGCTGGTCTGTCGATATACGCCCCTAATTTGCACATATGGGGTCAAACTGTTTGCCAGAGCTGGATTATTTGGAGGCATTGTATATAAGTCTGCCGTTTACTTTGTAAACTGAACAGGATTCTTCTCCCAACTTAATCCCTATTGCAGTCTGTATAGGCGGTCTGTACAGTGAAATGATCGCTGAGCTCTATCTTCCGTCTATCCAGATGAGATGTTCATCTATAATTCGACAACAAATTGCGCGGGGAATTGTACAATGAAGGGCAGCGCTCTGTCACACCCCTCTTTCAAAAATCAGTTACAACGTTCTCATCCCGCTTCTTGATTTGAGGGAAGCAAAGCCAAACGATAGCCACAACTGCGATGAGCGACAAAACGATAGGCTGGAGTACAGCAACACCCTTGCTCGTCGCAATCGCGCCGATGATGAACGGGAAGACCGTCCCGCCAGTACCACCAATGGCCATGGCAAAGCCAATAGCGCTGACGTGGATGTGCTTGGGGAGTAGCTTAGCTGTCATCATGACTGCTCCAGGGAACATGGGCCCCAGGAAGAAACCGAGGAAAGCCACAGCAATGGCTGAAACGATGAACTGGGGGACAAGCCAGAAGAGAAGTTGGAGAGCGAGACATATGGCGATGTAAATGCTGATGCAAAGTCTTTCTCCATAACGCTCTGTCACGAAGCCCAAGGTAGCACGTCCCAGAGCCTGGCCTGCCCAGAATCCGGTCGCAGAAATACCAGACGCATAGGCGGATGCCTTTCGAACGCGTAACATGAATGTGACGATCCAGCCTCCGAGACCAACTGAGAAGTCGAGTTAGCACCTTTCAAACACCATGTCAATGTGGCGTCCTACCTTCGACACCCATGTACGCAAAGAAGAAGATGGAGCAAAGCCAGGTGACTTTGGATTTGAGTGCGATTCTGGTACCCGCACCCCCGTTACCCTCGTTTTCGTGCGCGTGCTCCGCGCGATATATGGCGCCGGTCTTTTGCCAGAAGGTGACAGTAAGACCCACCAGTTCGAGGACTGATGCACCGACCTACGAGATGTTAGTACATGTAATATTAAAGGCACCGGCCAATTGGCACTCGACCCACCATCACATAGTAGTAGTTATACCAAGGCAGCTTGGCAGTGACTACCATCGAAGTAGCGATCAGTGGAGACACGAGAGCTCCAACGGAATAGAAGGAGTGCAGGAACCCCTGGATTGTGTTGGCCTTGTCCATTGCGCCGACCCAGGCGCAAAAGCACGCATCAGTCAAACCATTGCCAAATCCGCTGATCATGTTGGCCACGATGAGTGCTGGATAAGGAGGATGCAGAGCCAGGACGACGTATGTGATGATGTGGCAGAGAGGGGCCATGATGGCCACGCCTCTCTGACCAAACTTCTGATGGATCCTAGCATTGGTAAAGGCCGCCACCGAGTAACCGGCGAAAGGAGTCAGGAAGATCAACGAGACGATGGTGTAGCTGAGTTCGTAGTAGGTTTCAAGCTGGAGAAAAATTAGAATGACGAGTCCACTGCAAATCCTCAAACAATGGAAGCTCATGGGGAGCGAGCGTACGTAGGGAATCAAAGCCTGAAGGGTGGTGTTATGTTAGTGGCTGTCTACAACTTGTCGGCATCTCAACGACCACTTACACCGACTGCTGCGTCGTTCATGCCGGCAATGGCAAACGAGAAGAAAGCAAAGCCCAGTCTTCCCATGTTACCCCTTGGCGAATTCCACCGTTCGATAGGTCCATGAGCATTTGTTGGAGGGGTGTCGTCGGGTACATCTGACGATTGATGTTCCTCAGGTCCGTCTCTCTTCGGTGAGGCACTCCCAAGTGCGCGACCGCTGGAGCTCAGTCTGCCAAGCTCGTAAGGTTCCGAAGTGAAGGTTTTCTGATGCTGTGCCTCGGATCGCGCCTCGGTGGCGGTTTGCGACATCTTGAAGGGGTGTTGGTCAGCCAGCAGCGCAACCTAATTTTCTAGACTCTGTGTTCAAACGAAGTAGCTTTTACAGAACGCAAGACGAGAATCATCAATCAAACTCGTTGAAAAGAAGAGCGACTGCCATGATGATAAAAAGGTTGTCGAAAGCGGTCTGGTGACTTCGCTTGACCGAGGACTGGGCGGGGGGGAGCTTTCACCGATGATTATCCGGGGCATCTGGGGTTCCAAGGTTCCTTTCTCGGAGTCAGACGCGCAGCGCTAGCGGAGTATCCGTCGGGAACATTCCTGACCAACACACGCCTACGAGGCGAGGAGGCGGTTTTCCTCGCTGATGATTCGCTGACGGTGTCAAACACACCCATTTCAAAGTTAACTCGGCCCAGTCTTAGCTAATGTAAAAAAGGCGATCGGACTTGCTCCACTGGGCCGAGTCACTGGGGAAGTAACAAGTTGCGGCGTCGTTTTGCGAAACCGAAGCCTCTACACCCATTCCAACCAATCACGCCCCGAAAGTTTGAGCGAGAACACAGAGCCAATGACGACTGTAAGAAAAGTAGTAAGTAACTTGGAACATCTTTATGTAATAGCCGTACAGTGATTCCTGCGAGATTGAAGATGATGGTGATAAGATAGGAGCTTCGATTCACCGCGTGGAGTTTCAAATCAGCGAAACCACTCTCAATTCTGAAAGCTTTGAACCTCGCAACAACTTCATCCCGTAAGCTCTTTGCCGAGTAAAAGAAGAGTACATGAAAAGCCATGGTTTAACAGAGAAATGTCGAAGATTAAGGATTATAGGAAAGTGATTCTGTCGGAACGAGAGAATTTGTTAAGATTTGGGGTTGAAAGTAGTGTCCATCTTGAATACCGACAATCAAGAAAGATCTAGCTAATAGTTTGAGGATATCGGTATTTCGGAGCTACTGCCTGCTTACCTGGCGGGGCAACGGCAATTTACAAGCCTTGTTGCATTCAAATTTGCCGATGCAGAGCGCTTCGCATTGCGGCACAGGCATAAGCATACGTTTTCACGATCTGGGGTCTCAGGCAATCGTTCTCACAATCGTTCGAGAATAAAAATGATCTCGAATTTTGAGACAGCTCCCATGATCGCGGGACCAGTAGCTCGTCGTGTAACGTTCCCTACCTTAATTTCTAGGCGAAAATTGGTGTCGCCTCCGATGAAGCCAGCACGGGTGTCCGGCGCCCATCAAGGAATGTCAAAAAGCCTAGAGGATTACATGAAGCAGAGACAGTCTTGGGTGCGGTTTTCGAAATATCGATTTTCGTGCTGGGATTCTGCGAGAATGACCAACCAGGAACTGTGCCAAGTAGAAAAATCTATTCTTCGTAGCACCAACAAAGTAGAGGTCTCGGACGCGCTGTCGAAACGGCGGTGAATCATTGGAGCATGTTGATAAATAACACAATCACTCCAACAACAAACTTGATAGTAAATGAAGATGTATCGCAAACAAAGAGGTCAATTAAGAAGGATTATTTCGTCCAGCCTGCGTCATACTTTTTCCTTACTCTAGCTGGCATGATTATCAATTAACAAGACGTGTGATGATCAACAAATTTCTCGCAAATCCGATCATCACTTCATTTGCACATCATTTCCAGAGTAACGTGTACCTCACGAAAACCAGGGGTCATCAACCACAAAACAGATAGATGTGTTACACAAGCCAAGGCAGTGACTCGATTGTAGCCCCCCAGATTGTCGCACAAATATAGGCTCTTAATCACTGCAGCGCCTCGGACATGCGTCTATCCGTATGTTGACCATCAAAGGAACGAGATGTGGCGAGAGAAAGTCATCTCTATTGGTGTCATTATCGTGGCGCAGTGCCACAGTGTTTGAGCTACCTAGATGGCAGATATCATACCGTGATTGACAGGGGATGCAGGCAGGGGTGCCTGCGCGTTTGGTATCGTAACAATCAACCTGCTTCGGTTACTCTCTTGTTCAAGCAGATCAAGAAGTGAAGGCGTTCACTTTACCCTTGATGCCTAGATGCGCCAAGTATGTGATACAGACCATGTGGTTGGTCGTATCCAGACAATGAGAGAAGAATCGCGGCGGCGGCCAACCGACCAGGTTGGTCGTGTCGAAATGCCGATACTGTAGGCCCCCTTCTGTGTTGGTGAAAAGGGGCGCCAATGGCACATCCCGATCAATCTTCCCTCTCGGGTGAGTTGTGTCACCAACCTCGGAGCAATTATCCCCATTCATTATCAAGGCCGTGGAATCGCTTCGATTTCGAGTTCGAGGTTACCCCTCAAGCTCAAGTTTCTAGACTTGTCACTAGCAAACAGCCCAGATTATGAGCCACCTCTCAATCAATTTCTCCCTTCACGTAAATAATTCTGTTTCAAAATGGCGAAAGGTCCTGGAATCTCAACCGACAGCAAATATTCACCAACAGACCATGACTTGACCAGAGATGGCAACATTGATAGAGCCGGTCTTGATGCTACCGGTTCTTATGAGGAGAAGTACGGCGATGCTATCGGACAAACAACAAGCGACACCAATACCGATTCCATGGCCCCGAGGAACGCGGCGGAGAATGAAAAGATTCGGTCAAGCCTTGTCCGCAAGTTCGATCACAGGCTGGTACCTGCCATGTTTCTTGCCCATCTTCTCTTCTTCCTCGACAAGAGCAACATTGCCCTCGCTCGCATCAATGGACTCGAACGAGACCTCAAGCTGGTCGGCAACCAATTCAACACAGCTCTGGCAATGTTCTTCATCCTCAACATCTTGTTCAACATCCCAGGAAACCTAGCTGTACGCTGTGTTGGAGGTGCCATATGGCTGCCGGCCTTGATCATCTCATGGGGAATCGTCACAGCTCTTAGCGGCTTCGTCACCAACTTCGTCGGCCTCTGCATCACACGTGCTTTCCTTGGCTTGACCGAAAGCTCATTCCTCGGTGGTGTCTTGATCTACCTCGGCTTCTTTTACACTGCCGATGAACTCATCCTTCGTGTGGGCTTATTCTACTCGAGTACTGCCCTTGCCGGGTTTCTTGGTGGCTTGATGGCCGCTGGACTGGGACAGATCAAGGTCCGCGGCTATGACGGGTGGCCTTGGCTTTTCTTCATTGAAGGGACCATGACCGTCTTTCTGGGTCTCCTGCTGCTTTTCGCCTTGCCGCACACACCTGCTGACGCCAAATTTCTCTCGCCGACTGAAAGGGCTCTCGCTGTTGCGAGAATGCAATGTCAAGATCAATGGCACTATCTCGGCAATCCTCGCCTGTCCGACCAAGAATCAGCAGCAGACGATCAACAGGGTGGTATGTCGAGGCTCCAGAATAAGAAAGATCCTCTTACATGGAAGACTATCTCAGGGGCAATCCTTAATGTCATCACCGTTCTGATGGCTCTCGGAAGCTTCTGCTCTATCCAGGCCATCTACAGCTTTTCTATGTTCTTCCCGACGATTATATCTGCTATGGGATATAGAAAGCTGCAGGCATCGTTGATGACAGCTCCCCCGAACTTTGCAGCATCGATGTTTACTGTTGGCATCTCGTTCTGGAGTCGTCGGTCTGGAAAGACTGCACTGCCTTTGAATGTCTGCAGTATGATCGGCATTTTCGGGTACATCCTGATGATCGTTGGTGCCCACGCCGGTCCGGCACCGTTCTACATGGACATCAAGATTCAGTACGCCGGCTCATTCTTCGTCGCCATGTCGGTCAACGCAACACCACCTTTGGCACTCACTTGGATGAGTATCAACGCATCTCCGCACTATGTGCGTGCCGTTGCTTTGGGCTTTCTGCTGTCAATTGGAAACTCGGCTGCCTTTCTCGCTTCCTTCACCTACATTAAAGATGAAGCACCCAGGTACGTTGTCCTCATGGAAACGCTTGCGCGTGTTCGTTCACTGACTCTGTCATTTCTCAGATATCTTAAAGGGCACTTCATCAACTTTGGCTGTCTAGTTGTGTTATTGGTGATAGGATTTGTTTTGCCCCTGTACATGAAGCGGGAGAATAAGAAACGGTCGCGAGGCGAGCGCGACTTTCGACTAGACGAGGGACAAAGGGACGGCCTATCAGCAGAAGAGCATGAGTTTAGACTTGGGTGGATGCATCCCAGTTTCCGTTTCAAGTTTTGATGCCGCTGATAGAAGGTAGCAAGGTAAGTAGGCATCTTGAGAAACGATACTCGACATGGGGGTCAATAAGTACACATTTATCTGAATGCCCATAGGAGAACCATGCACTGCCTTTGATACTTTATGATTGATTCGATCCCTTAAGATTCGGCGACTACCTTACTTCTCAAACATAGACCATTGTAGACGTAAAATATCGTGATTGAATGATTCTGATTCACAAAGTTCGGTGTGTGCAATCACCACATCACCAATACTCGGCGAAATGAAGCCATCACCAGAATCGAGGTACGTACCGTCGAGTACCTAGGTAGTCAGATAAACGCCGACGGAGCATTATCTCCGACACTAATGCAAAGCGTGGAAACTGCCCGCCAATTTCGCGATTCATTGCCGAGGTGGATCTCCCGTCCTTCAACCTCCTTTCCAAAAGTCCGCCTCTCGTTGCCGGACCTCTCGACTTCAGACGACGTCAACTCTCGGCACAGAGCCGACGGAATCTGTGCGGGCCGTGCTTCGTTGCAAGACGGCTTCACCAAAGCGCAAGAAAAAGGAGAGTCTTGCACACACGCGAACACAGACAATGGCGGCGGGACATGGCCTCTTCTTCTTCATTCCTGGCAACCCAGGACTCGTCGATTACTACACCGACTTCTTCGATGCGCTAAAGGCCCGCATCGGCTGGGCCGACGGCCACATTCACGTCTATGGCCGCGATCTCTTTGGGTTTAGAGATGACAGCCACGAGCCGTTCAGCAAAGACAGTCTGCCGTATGACGTGGAACACCAGATTGAGCTTGTTTTTGACCATTTGGCATCATTGCGGCGGACAGACTCTTCGCGCAGTGCGCCGGGCAAGAAGGGCGAGCCATATGACTTTGTCGTGATCGCGGGCCATTCTGTCGGTAGCTACATCGCCCTGGAGATTTTCCACCGGCACCTAAAGGATCCCTCGCGCGCGCCTCATCTCAAACTTCTCACGGGCATGCTGCTCTTCCCAACGGTCACACATATTTCCAAATCGCCGAGCGGAAAGCAAATGGAACTCATTCGCACGACACCATTCCTCAACAACACCGCACACGTGATCGCCCAAAAGTTCTTGAACCTTTGGCCGGCGGTCGCGCTTCGGTGGTTCGTTGGCAATGTCCTAGGCATGGGCCCCAAAGCAGCAGATGTCACGACCAGTTTCTTGAAGAGTCGGGACGGAGTATGGCAAGCCATTCACATGGGCAAAGATGAGATGAAAGTTATTACCGAGGAGAAGTGGGATAAGGAACTCTGGGAGGTTGAAGAGGACGATCTGGGGAACGGCAAGCGAGCTGCGCCTAGATTCTTCTTCTTTTTCGCGAAAAAGGACCACTGGGTTGGAGATCATTTCCGGGATCACTTCATCAGGGCCCGAGAGAAGCACATCGAGAACGGTTGGGCGAGGGTTGAGATTGACGACACGGGACTTCCTCACGCTTTTTGCACTACGGAAAAGAACAGCGAGATCATCGCCGCCAAGGTCGCTGAATGGTTGAAAGAGGTCTGGGACGGCTTGGCTCAGCCAACAGCATGATTGTGCGGTGTAAGTCCCATCTTTTCATGATACGAGGAACAGGTTTTGAGTGTATAATATTAAACAATAGACAATAATTGTATTCCACAAAATTCCAACGCTTCTGATCTTACATGAAGTAGGTAACTAAGATGGGAGAAGCGGAAATCTGGCAGACAAGTGCCTTTTCTCTCGCTCGAGGTAACCGAAAATATTTGCCCTTTGAGGTGGTGGGATATGTCCGGATTTTGCTATCAACTCTAGACCATGAAGTCGCCTTGATGACACCGCCGATAATCTGGGAAAAGTCTACGTCGCCATGCCTCGCTGGTTCTGTTGAAGAACTCTCAAGAGGGCATTGGCCTTCCAATCTGCATGCTCTGAACGCTTGCAGTCTACCAAATCGTCAGCGTCAAGCTGGAAATCGGGGATCCATCATATACTTACCTCTGCTTCAGACTTGTTCTTTCTTCTTCTCATCAAACCATACACAAATGCTCCCATTGCCAGGAGTGACACACCAGCTAGGCTCTCTGTTAGTGGATACCTCGCCAGTCGAGTCACTAGCAAGATTGACTTACCAACACCGCCAAATACACCCAACAACACCACAGCTGTGGGAGTACCGCCGGCCCCCTTGGGAGTTCCTGTTGAAGACGCTGAAGACATGGGGGCAGACACAGACGCGGCAGGAGGTGGCATCGGGAACGGGCTAGCTCCGACAAGGGGCATGGTGAGCCCGCTGGCTGGTGGAGGTGGTGGAGGTGGCGGGGGCGCAACGACCGGCGGAGGAGGAGGCGGCGGCGTGCTCATCGGCGGTGCTGGCGGCGGTGGTGAGGTCTGAACTGGCGGAGCTGGTGGTGGAGGAGGAGGCTGGTTGACTGGGGGCGGCGCTACTGGTGTCGCAGTCACCGTGACTGTTGTCGGGACCATGATCATCACGGTCTGTGTCGCAGCCGGAGGCGTCACCGTCACAAAGATGGTGACTGTCGGTATATTGGCATTGTTGTTCGGAGGCAGTCCCGTGGCCACGGGCTGTCCAGGTGCCGCCGGCGTAGCTTGAGGTTGGCCGCTGAGGAGACCTAGGACTGAGAGGAGCTGGTTCGGATCGAGAGGTAGCGCGTTGGCGTTGGGCGCACTCGCTTGCTTGGCAGCTCCTGCGGCGACAGCTTGAGCGTTGGCTGCTTCGGCATCTTGCATTTGCCGGCGAACATCTCGAATCTCCTCCTCTTCCTCCTCATCGCGCTTGGCGACGTTGCGGCTTACCATGTCCATCACTTGCTTCACCCTCCACGCCGGTGATGTTATTGATGAAGCGGCTAGTAGAACTTCTCCTTTGTTCGGTACGTCGATTCACTGTCTAAAACATTTCCAATTCGGTAGGTGAGCCGAGAGGTCGTGAGGCACTTGTCAAGCGTATCACAGATGCGCTTGTCTTGCTAGTCCGGTTGTGAATAACCGAGAAAAAGGGTCCTGGGATACTAGATAGGCAGCGGCCGGGGTAGCGAGCGAGGTGGAACCCATGCACTTCTTATTCAGGCCTTGTGCTCGTCCATTCTGTCAGTCTCTGCTAGTTCCATCCATCATTTGACTTCTGGCTCGTGTCAAACTTTCAAGGCCGAGGCGCCACCACTCGGGCCCGGGCCCTTTCGCGCTGGTCTACGGGGTTGAGATGTGTCCCAAAGGGGCAAGTGGGCGTCAAGTTTCCGACTGACGGGTAGACATGATGGGAATTGGGTGCCATTAACACGGTTGCCGGAGACAGGAGGAAAAGAAGGTGATCAATTGGGGCCCGGCTTTGGCCCATTAGGTGAACGTGCGCTCCCCGGCCCTCTCTTTGTCTGTCCTCTGGTTTGTTTCCTCTGCTCTTAGAGTTCCTCTACTGTTTGTGTTGAGAGGAGAAGGGGGGTGGAGGGGGTCGGAGAGCCGTAGACTTCGATGCGTCGACTCGTTGTGGGCGACGACTGCGACGCGGCGTCGAAGCAGCCTCGGTGTTTCACAAAGGAGGCAGAAGTGGTCTAGAAGATGGGATGTCCAATGGCTTCAGTGTTTTGCGAAACCACTTTCTGTAACCTCTAGAGCCTCCTTGCGCTTCCCATGCATTTGGGGATGGGCGGCCGTGCGGCGAGTCGCAGGCATCCCCGGACCATCTCGTACGAGGGTGAACCTGTTTCTCTCATCAACTTGAAGGTTTCTTTCTCGAGCTGATTATCTAAATTCGATTTAGCTCTTTCAGCCGTGTTCGCGATCTCTAATTGACGTCAGGACAATGATGAATACCAGCTGGCTGCGTCACAGCGTGGCGGTAAAAGCTGGATTGGGCTTCCAGACAAGCCGGTGGACTTGGCTAGTATTGTTCTTTATATGCATGAGATAACCGAGCGTAGAGACTGTCCACGGGGCCAAGAACTGGTCTTCCATGCTTTGGTTTCTTTCATTTTGAACCGACAAAATAGAAAAGGGATACAGAGTCAAATTAAGCTATGAATCCCAATCGGCTACAGCCGCAGCCGCCGCCGCGACCGGACGTGAGGAGGGGACTGCTCGGAAGTCTGACTGCTGCATCGGCTGCAGCGTACAACTTTCTTGCCCATGACTACGAGTACATGCCGGACCGATATCATGACGAAAAGGCCTTTCCAACTCGGTTATCTCGGGCCGGTACTAGCATCCGACTAGGAGCCCCGCGCGGCCGTAATATTCTGCCGCTGAGGCCGCCGCCCATCCGGAAGAGGACCTGGCAGAAGGACAGCAGCACTGGAGAGCTCCGCACCAAGTCGTTCGAAGACTCTCAGTACAATCAGTATGATGAGGGCCGTGGAGGCCAAGACCGGAATCCCTTCGATGACTCCAATGAAGTGGAGGGCCAGCAAGACGACGACAATGATGATGGTAATGATGAACCATTTTCAATCTTCACCAAGAGGCAGAAGTGGCTCATTCTCATCATTATTGCTTCTGCGGGTCTTTTCTCGGGCTTGTCGTCCAATATTTACAACCCTTCCTTGGATGCAATATCAAGGGTAAGTGGAAACTTCACATCAATCTTCCAAAACAACCCACGCGCGCGGCAGATGCTAACACACCAGTTCAGGAGCTGAAGGTTAGTGCATCACAAGTGTCACTCACAATCACGTCTTACTTGGTCATGCAAGCCGTTACACCGCTGCTATGGGGTCCCATGTCTGACACGCTCGGCCGCCGACCGACTTACATCGCTTCCATGGGAGTTTACATTGGCGCCAACGTCGCGTTGAGCTTCTCGCCAAATTACACGGTACTGCTTGTCTTCAGGGGCCTTCAAGCTGCAGGAAGTGCCTCGACTGTTAGTATCGGTGGGTATTTCGTCTCGGCCGTCTCTTCAGTTTCCAAACTTGGCAGCTAACGGGTGTGATAGGCAACGGTGTTATCCAGGATATCTCTCCGACGGCCGAAAGGGGTGCATACATTAGCTTCTATCAAGCAAGTGAGTCGGACTTTTCTGCGTCAGGATTTTGAACGGCATCTAATTCTTTGCAGTCCGGAATTTTAGCACAGCGATCGGCCCGGTGTTGGGAGGTGCTCTCGCCAACTCCTTGGGCTTTCGATCCGTGTTTGTCTTCTTGCTCATCGCTACGTCGCTTATTCTCATCACTATCGTTATATGGTTACCAGAGACTTTGAGAACTATTGCTGGCAATGGGTCCCTTCGTCTTAACGGCATCATCTACAAGCCGCTCTACAGATATGTGACCAAGGAGCCGAAGTACATGGAGGATCCAGATGGACCTCTGAACCGAAAGATTACCATTTGGACCTTTTTGAGGCCATTCAGGCTCTTCAAAGAGAAGGACTTGGTTATTAACCTCATCTGGGGTGGTGTAATCTATGCCATCTGGAACATGGTTACGACTAGCACAACTCCACTATTCAAGGAGCGGTTTGGATTGAATGAACTCCTTCTTGGTGTGGCATTCATACCCAATGGTAAGTAGAAACCACTTTTTCCGAACTTTGAACATTGATTGGATGGCTTGAACTCCGATGGAAGCGAGACTTGTCCGGACATGACTGACCTGCGTGGGTAGGAACTGGGACCATTGTCGGCTCCGTGTTTGCGGGCAAACTTCTGACTCGGGACTACAAAGCCGTTGAGACCAAATACAAGGAAACCCACAACATCCCTTACGACGAGGAACTGTCACCCAAAGATATTGCGCCAGATTTCCCTTTGGAGCAGGCCCGTTTGAGACGCCTCCCGTGGATAGTCTTCCTATTCGTTGCCTCTATCGTCGGCTACGGTTTTTCTTTGGCGTATCCCACGGCAACATCCCGACCGGGGTGGATTGCGTTGCCCTTGACAATGCAATTCCTCATTGCCGCATCGGCGAACGCCATATTTGCGCTAAACCAGACCATCATCTCGGATCTTTGCCCCGGTGAAGGCGCGAGTGCCACAGCCATTAACAACGTGGTCCGTTGCGGGCTGGCAGCTCTCGGCGTAGCATTCGCAGAGCAGATGCTCAACGCCGTTGGTCCTGGCACCGCGTTTCTTGTCCTCGGCATGGCGGTCATAGCTGTCTCTCCCATTCAGGTTGTCAATCAATTCTGGGGGCCCAAGTGGCGGGCTCAGAGAGAGAAGAGGAGGTCAAAGGTGGGTGTGCAAGATCATCCAGATCGGCAAAAAGCCTAAAGCCTTTTTTTTCTGTTCTTGAAAGATGATCACGAGGGGCATTGACTTGCATTTTTGAGCGCGGCGTTCTAGACATACACGAAGCATCAACCGCGCAGAGGCGGTTTCCAGTATTGTTAGCATTTGAGAGAGTGGCCTTCACCTGTCATGGTGCACACATGTAGCCCTCAGGAACATAAAGGATAGTTAGGTACTCTAGGTAATGGTCAATACCTAAGCCAGGGCGACTCATCATATTTTGATGAGTTATGGTTGCGAACACCCCAATTTACAAGCCTGCCATTTTCTTTCTATCGATTCGGCTATTGCATTGGGCGAAAGTTTCGCCTCATGACTGGGCACCATCACTTTTTGCCCTGACGAATTGACACCAGCCAATCTCAATGATTATCACTTTGACGAGGATGGCCTGTCACTTATCTCTGGTTGTAGGTCGATCTCTCTGGTCGCCTGTGAAGACAGAGTTCCTCTGAGGCGATCCTTTCTGTAGCAAGTCGTCTGGTGTTTCTGCTGAAACCTGCAAACGTACTGCGTGCATCCCAGTCGGAAGTTAATGTGGTGCTCGAACGCCTGGCTTCGGTGGTCCGTACCTCATGGCTAAAACACCGCATTGCTTTCCCAATGGAGCGAAGGATTGCGCTAATAATCGGCAAGTTGGTACCAGAGCCTGTCTTCACGTGGGCTCTCGGCTCCTTGCCCATGGGTACATGCACAGTTTGATGGGTTAGACAGCTCATGTCAAAGGGCTGGAGAAATGGGCTAGGACTTGCAGGCCATCTGACGTCAAAAATTGGATGGCAATATGTTCTCTCGTCATTTTGGCAGATGCAAGTGAAGATGCAAGTCTGCAGTTACTCTCAGGAGCCAAGCAAAAGCCAAGAAAGCTGTCATAACGATCGCCAGTTCGTCGACCTAATGACCAAGCGTCTATTACCGATTAGAATCTAAACGGCCTATTCACCCTACATCTACCAATTCAAAAGCGTTTGTCGAGAGTTTGTGGTGACTAACTGAAGATCCCGTGTGTGCGGGCCCCCGGCCCGAACCTGTTGATCTGGGGACCCCTGCTTCAGGGTCAGTTCACGGCCTCCAAGATCCAAATCGGCATATATGACTCATCTCTATGGCATACAAGGTAGTGAAATATGATAGATTATCATTCCCTGATGCGTGCAAAAGGACATAGCTTGTCATATACGGACAATAATGGTTCTTGTGCTAGATAGAGTGCCGAGCAATCTGCCCAGCCATGTCGACTTACTATACGGTTCATGGGGATACGAGGAAGAGGACTGAATGCCAGCTACTTATGTATCGACCCAGTTGACTCTTATTATTAAAGGGTCTTCGGAGAAAACAGTTTTCATAGTGCATGGTAGATGCACTATCACATTACACATCAACTCCTGTAGGTGCTTTAGGTAAAGGTTTGATCGTCGGATGCGCAGTTGATATCAGTGCAAGAGTCTATACATGGCACGAACTCAGGGAGTTGACTCAAAACTCGTAATCAAATGAAATAGAAGCAAAAGATCGTTTGCTTAAATAGGCTAGCTTCTATATCCGGCCTATTTGCTCGATCGCGGTAGGCTTAAAGAAAGCAGAGTCGATAGGTGCGATTAACTTACCCTCCCGGCTAACCGTTTCTTTTAATCTACTTCTGCCGCTCATATCATATGAAAGCCAGTCAAACTTAGCTTCAATACTTTAATAACGAGGGAGGAAGTTGGCTTCTATAAGCCAGTCAAACGCTAAGATATACCCCCTCCCAGGCTCCATTGTCTCACTGAACCCAATGTCTCGAGATACCCTCAGGTCATAGTCGATACGCATCGGCGAGGCCAAAGTGGCAGCCAGTATATCCCAATTAACATTCTCAAGGGCTCCCCGTTCAAGGCCGTTGGCGAAAACCCAGTCTGGCTACTCGTCTTTCTGAGCAATGATCCAGTCGATCCCGAATGCCTGGCTAGTGGACTGGTCCTGTGGCCCAACTCCGTCGAGGCCAAAGTATTGGCAGACCAATCGCCACTTCATCTCCCACGAGACAGAATCGCCGTCTCCAACATTGAACGGCCGCTCGTGGGTCTTATCCGGATACAAGGAGGCATAAATGTGGAAACGGGCAACCAGGTCTTGGAAAGAATCGGTGTGTAGTGCCCTCCAGGACTCTTGGGTTCCTGGAAAGGGACAAGCTGCCCCGTAACTATACATGGAGCGATAGAACGACAGATAAGGCCCCAAGCTCTGCGCCACGTTCATGGCACTAAATTGGGGGACGAACCCAGGCTAAAGAGCAGGCCCTGTCAGATGGGGCTGATTGAGGGAGTTGAAGCGCGACTATTGTCGAGATACTCAACAGCAAGGACGGCCTGACGTCAGTCCATTTCCACAAACTGTCCGTAGCGTGTCTAGCCACCACATCGCATTGGGGTAAGTAGAAAATCTTAGACGCGTACGGCTCTGGCAAACGGGCCAGGTCCTCCTTCCACGGTGCAGGTGGCCAGCCGTATCCTACTGTTCCATAGCCCTAGTGAAGGTTTGAGTTGAAGCTAAGTTCACGCAGTCGAGCTTCTGCTTACCTTCCCGCCTGTCTGTAGAGAAACAAACTTGAGGTTCGGGCACAGATCCTTAACAGCTGTCAGGGCATTGTTGACGATCGTAGCGTTAGTTTTGACTTGGTCTTCTGGATCACTTTCATAGCTCGTGTACGCTGAAAAACTGATCTTAGCCAATCCAGCTATATATGCTGTGCTTTTCTGCCCAAGCTAAGGAAGTTAAACTCCCCCCATAAAGTATATATGCATGACACCATCGACGTCTGGGATAGCGTCAAGTCTCTGAAGCGGCAAGTCGGCATCGGTAAGGTCGAGTCCAGTGTGTATTTCAAGTCTTGGGTCGTCCTGTAACCGCGCTCTTTTCCTGCTCATTGGCCTCTTGCTTAAGCTGATGACTCGACTAAAGGTGGCTGTCGATGGATAGCTAAGACACTCGCACATCAAAGCCCAGCCAAACTAGGATTTTCAGCATGAAGAAGAAGAAACTGAAAGTGCGACTTGAGAGACTCACAATACCAGAGGCCCCCAATATCATGGCAACTTTCTTCTTCTCGGAGGCCATCCTTGCGTTCAATTTGTGAATGATGTATCACACCCCTTACTTACAGTCCATTCAGTTGCCTTCATGATAGCAGTTGTTGAACTTTATATAGACGACGACACTGCATACAGTATGTTTAAGAACCTGCCTTTTCTCGACTAACCCCTCTGCCAGGTATGTTTCCTAGTTCCTCCGGTGGAGAGAGGAAACTAGTCGCTCGGCTTAAGTGTAAAAGTGAAGCCATTTGACTTGGGGTTTCGCTCTCGATTTCGGGGTGGGCTGAGGAGACCGAAAGACCAGCAGCCTTCCCACATACAGAGCTTGTAGAGCTTACAAATTTCATCTTTTGTCTGTCCGACGGTCGGATATCACTGCGTCAAGGGAACCAGGAAACAAATATGATCCAGAATTATTTACACAATAACATGTGAATGTATTAGCTGTAGACCCAGATCATTCATTTGTAGAGAAAATCACAACCTCCACCAGATAGGAAGATAACGAGCATACGACTTAGATATGTACACAGCTCCGTCGTTATACAATAATTCTGCAAATGGCTACGGCTACTGATGTCCGAGCGTCAAGACTGAGGATGTCAGTCGAAGGTTTAGATGGAAGAACCGTCCTGGCCTCAGTTACGGAAACAATCAATGCCCCAGCCAACGAAATTTGGCCATTTCTGTCGGCGATCGGAGCCGAGCGGATCCAGATCCCGGGCTGCACCCGATCCGCCGTGCTGGAAGGATACGGCCTGGGCGCCGTCCGTCGCGTCTACTTTGGCGAAGTCTATTTTGATGAGCGCGTTCTCGTGTGCGACCACACTGCCTTCAAATTGCAGTACGAAGTTCTTGAGCCGAGTTCGAGTCCGGCGACGGGAGTCCTTGCGGCCGTACAACTTCACTCTTCGGGTCCGGAGAAGACGATTGTTACCTGGACATCTGGAGCCAGGCGAGTTGAGCAGCAGCATGAGGATAGCGTTAAGTTGCAGGCTGTTGGATTTTGTCAAGGCCAGATCGCATCTCTGAGGAAGCTGACTCAGACTGCAAAGGCTTCTTCGTAGGCGCTTTCAAAATGGTACTACATACTTGAATAGCCTGTTGGATGGACCAGCTTGGGAATAAAATGCGTCTTAAATGTGAGTTAAATGTCATGACTGTGGTAGTGTGGGAAGGTACATCTAGTACTAGAATCAAGACTTTGCTATTGGGCCTCTTGTTAGCATGAATAGAGTTACTAGCAGGTATGTCGTGAGCTTCTTATTGGTGCTAAAGTCTTTGATCCGTCAAACTTCATGATGATAGAAGTCCATTGGATTAGAAGTGAGTTCCTAGTTCTAGTAAAGCAACTTCTAATGCTTGCACTCTCAAACCCCCTCCCAACCATGATCTCACTTTGCAGAAGTCTGTGTCGGAGAAAAGGCCCATATTTTGGGTTCGAGGTTCAATAAATAAGGTAGAGTAGAATTGAAAGATTGTGCAATGACTTTAAGGACTTAGGATCACTTTCGTGGCTTACAAAAATAAGTGAAATTATTCTTTCCAGTGGGCTGCTGTTTCATATCGCTTCTGAGGAATTCAGACAGCGGATATTTCACCACGAGCAAAGATCCCGCCATGGCCTATCAGAGTTTTTCGTTCCACGTCAAAACAGTTCTCCTTGAAATCGTCATCACAAAGTTTGTAGAGTCTCTTAACGGTCATATCGCAGTAAGTCTTCTCGTGAAGGGATACAACATCGTGGCCGTAAGATGTTGTACTGTTGCAAACCAACGACGCTGCATGTTCCTCAGCGCGAGTGACGATGAGATGAGTGATGTCAGGGTTTGTGCCTTGTCTCTTGGCCAACTTCTCTCTCTTGACTCTTCGTTCAGACGCCCTCATAGAACGTCTTGCAATAGGCCGGGGGTCGTGGTCGGCCATCTTGTCCCACTTGGCCTCGTCAACTGCGCGTTGTGGGTCCTTGTCTCGGCCTTCTTGTCCGGTGATTGCGTTCCGCTCGTACTCCAGGGGAGGCTTGAAGAGGGGAAGGTTTGCCCCTGGCCGAAGATGATACCAGAACGAGAAGGGAGGAGTGCTTTTACACAAGTATTCCTGAGGATTTTCCTTGTACATCTTGACTTTATCTGGTGTTCCAAGCATGTCGTTGAGATGAAAGCTCATGGCTCGCGCGTTGAAGCCATCGGTATGGTCCTCATCAAGCCAGACGCACTTTGGATGCATGAGTTTGGCATCGAGCCGACGCCGGCTGAAGAACCAGCTCTGTCCACAGCGAGCCCCAAGATCACCGTAAAAGACGGAGGAGAGTTTTCCGTTTGACACCTGGATCGCCGAGACACAGATGGCATCGGAACTCCACTGGTTGACTACAATGTACTTTGGTGTCGTCATCTTGTCTACGTGCACGTTGTGTTCGATCTTGTAGATGGAATCGTCGAGGTTTTTTTTTCATTCCGATCCGGTCACCGTCATTCGTCATGCGATGTCCAATCCTTGCGCCTAGGTCGTCGTATAGTTCCATCTGAGGCTGATGGCCTCCTGCTCCGCTTTCGTCACCCAGCATAATCGTGACCAGAGTGTGGTCGACATGCTCCGTTGGGATGCCTTTGTCATGGGACCACATGAGATTGTAGATCCTGTCGTTGATGCCAAATAGAAATCCGAGGATTTTGCGGCCTGGACTACCGGTTGGAAGCATCTTGGGCGCTCAAGCCAGGGAACCAGGATGTTGTACGATCCAGAGCTTTTCGAGCAGGAAAATGTAAACCCTCAACAAGAAGCTATGCGGTAGAAAGCTACATAAGACCAAGACCACAATGAGTATCAGAGTAGTCTACGACAGTGTTATGCTATTCTCGACGGATTTCAAGGATTATGATCCTCTAATGCTTTCTATTAGACTTCGAATAGTCACGCTTTCAACAATGGTGCTGAGTTCTTTCGCCGGTTTGAGCCAGATAGTCTCTTTCCAGCGCAATTGACGTATCGTACTTGGCAAAGGGCGCCAGAGGAAACATCTTTCTCTACGAGGTTTCACGACGCAGGGCCAGGCTTTGATCGAACGGAGGGTCAGTGACCTTGAGACCCATCTCACTCCTTCTTTGATTCTAGGGGCAGTGTCATTCTTTCGTATACGTTTATAAAAGCGCTCGTGATCGTTCTCTTGGGATTCCCGATCAGTATCATGAGGTCCAAGTGGGACTTAGGCATGGCAGATCTTGTGAGCTACTTATCAGGAGCTCTCTTGAAGATCTTCACCTAGGGATAAGACCGGTGCAAAGGGCTTCGATAGAAAACATGTTCCAGCTAAAACCTCGTAGCAACTTAAGAACTCACAGTCACCAAGGTGTAGCCCATACGCCGCTCACAATTCGTAATCAGCTTCAGATATCAACATAAAGTAGGTACTAATGTAGTTGCACGGTCATCAAGATAATATTGTTAGTTGATCCACGCAATGCAAACGGTTCGAGTAACGACTTCGCGGCAGGAACTAGGGCCATGAGAGGGAGTACCATCTTGGCTGTGACTACGTTGTTTTCTTGTGGCCAAACTTATGGGATGCGCCCTGCATGACTTGGCAACCCCGTAATCGCCGAAAAGACTTGTCAGATAGACGCATTTGCCCATCATAGCAACACGTATTTATCACACTGCAATCCGTCTGCGCTGCAGTGCTTAGGGGCAGTGTGATCGGCCCTGCGTTTCTACTTGTCATGTGAAATCACAGGGTAACCTAATAAGGTGAGTCATCATTTGACGGAACATTGTGTGTGTGAATTGTTCCGAAACCTGAATTCATGGCGTATAAGTTGAGTTCTGCAACATTCAACTATTGTTTGGTATGCGCATGTTATCTCTTTAATTATTCCTTGCTAGAAAGCCTGGGAATGTAATCGGGAGATTTCACGATATTTCCCGCTGGCTTCACCAGGTATAGGTAACCAGGTGTGGCCTACTTCAACAGTAGCAATGCTTCTCGGGGAGCAACGGTGTTTTTTGGTCAAGCTGAGCTAGGGAAGCTTCCGCCGAAATCGCCCTTCGATAAACATTGAGACTTGCCATCGATGTGGTTATCTAAGGATCAGCTTTTCAGGAGGTAGTAAGATGAATAGCCAATTCGACTCCAAGGGGCTACAGCTTTACCTATGAGCTTCAAGTTCAGTTGATCTTCCGCGGCATCCATGGGAAATAAGCGCGGACACCATCACGCTTGATGAAAATAGCAGAACTCCGAGCATCTCGCATCTCCGAAGGCTGCTTGATCATTCGAACCGCCGATGGAAGTTTCTGCCCAGTGACCTCAGATTCCCCCTGTCTTTCCCGATGAGAGCGCGCCTGTTTGCTCTATGCAGGGCCAACTCTGACAACAAGTTTGGCCACCGAATAGGTACCGAACGGTACCGAACGGTACCGAACGGGTGATACAAAAGGGGTGGTTAATATGAGGGAGAGATGCTGCCCAGGCTCCAGGATCGAGCGTGACCATCTCAAACGGTATCGGAAGACTAAAAAGCACCACTCTTAACGGTCGCATTCGCCACTGCGCAGTTCATTTTGGGCAGACTCGTCGCCATCGACATATCTGCGTCATGAATAAACTTTCTAACCGTGCCTGATTGGCGGGCTGAAACTACTCTAATGGCCGTAACTTTGCATCAGGACAATAAACTTCGGCTAGAAGCAACTCACCAGGCACCGCACAGAACACAAGAGGATCATGCCTATCACATGAGGAGCTTTTTCGGTATTGAACCCGACTTGTTGTCCAGTCATCATTCGTGTCTCTGTCATCCCTATGTACACACACTCGGGTTTTCCAGCCAAGCCAAAGCCTATGTAGTCTCACCGAGTGACATGCCCACGACTTTCTCACCAATATGTTCCACCGAATAGAGTTATTGAATTATGGAGTTTTAGGTTACCCACGAGGCATGAAAATGAGTGTCTTGTCGATTGTACTTTGTCCCGTGTGTTCGCTATCTCCGAACGATTGCTGACTCAAACTGCGCAAAAACCATTTCGTCAACACAAGCTCTCATACAGAGTTCCTACCAGGAACAGCAAGGGGTAAACCACCACTTCCAGCAGGTTTAGGGGGCGGTGCTTGGGGCTTTGGAGGGTTCTGCGGTGTCTGCGGTGCGGGATTCTGAGGCGTCTGCGGCTGTTGGGGAGGAGGAGCTTGCGGCTTGGGAGGTGTCTGGGGGGCAGCACCAGGCTTGTTCCCATTTGTTGCACCTCCGGCGAGAGCACCAGCCATGAGAGCTCCAGCAGGGGCAGGGGCTGGATCCTTCGGGTTGTTTGTGTTTGTGTTACCGCCCGCCTTGGGCGTTCCTCCAGCCGGAGGCTTGGGTTTTGAACCGGCCGCAATTGCGCCGGCAGGAACAGGAGCAGGTGGGACAGGTTTAGCACCTTGATTTGGATTACCTTTGGCAGCACCAGCAGCGTTTCCTCCAGCCGCTGCAGCTCCGGCTCCAGCGGCGGCGCCGGCCTTCTTGGGATTCGCAGCAGGTGGTTTGGGCGCGCCGGCGGGTGGTTTGGACGGGGTAGCAGCAGGAGGGGCGGCGGCGGGAGGCTGGGCGGCAGGCGGAGTCGGCGGCGTGACCTTGGCCGGAGGCGGTGCCGCCTTGGCCGGAGGTGGAGTGTTGACCTTCGCCTTCGCCTTTGCCTTTGCCTTGGCAGCCTTCGCCTTCTTCTTCTTCTTCTTCTTCTTTTTCTTGCCGAGGAGCTTGGCGAGTTTCTTCAGAATCTGACGCTCTTTGATGTGCGGCTCATCTTCCGCGGCTAGCGCGGTCTCGGGCTGTTCAACAGCGGCGACGGCGACGGGGGCATTAATTTGCGGCACGTCCACCTGAGCGCCCAACTCGCTACTTTTTGTTAGTCCCTCAAGATCAGATCTTGAGACAAGACGTGTGCTTACCCTAGGTCCCGTTGGACAACATCGGTCCCCGCCGGAGCACCGTTGATGCCGACGAGGAGGGCCGAGGCGAGCAGGAGGGCAGGCGTGAAGTATCTCATTATAGTGAATGGTAATATTTGCTCAACAAATGATTGGAGGAGATTGTGACCAAGACAAGCTTGGCGCTTGATAGGAGGGGAGTACTCGTATCTGAGGTTGCCGTTTGGGTATCGGCGTGAACTGAGGAGCCTGCCTGGCCCTTTCGAACGAGAAGTTGGCGATGGAGGACTTCTTTAATACTCCGTCTAGTCAACAAGAACGAGTTTACATTCTGGCTCGAGCCCAGGGATGTGCAATGCTCGTCCAAACCTTGGAATGGCTTCCATTCTGCCAGCCGTAAGGGGTGGGCGTCGATCCATTGGCCGCGACTTCAGATTAACATTCACGGAAAGGGCGACTCGCGAGTGCCTGAAACTAGTAATCGCATCTCCAGGTCGACAGCATCTAGAGTTCACGGCTTCAAGTGCCCGACCCCACGAGAGCCACGCACCGCATAGAGCCGGATCGGCGTTGAGTGGAGGATACTACCTTGCATCTGGCTCGCCTTGAGTTCTCTCAGGGTGATAGGCATCTCCCTGCATCGCTAATTCTCCTAACTTTCTTGGATGAAGAGACGTTTCGCTGCGGCGTTTCGTGGGTGGAGGCTCTCCTCGTCTGATGTAAGTCTTGAGCAGAATTCTGCAAGAAGACGCGAGGTAGACCAACTCGTCCGATATCGATCCGTTTCAGTCCCCCTCTTAAGATGGTGTGTCCTGAAAGCTGACCTGGAGTACCCCTCGGGTCTTCTGCTCTCTCGGCAAGCGGAGTCCTGGTCTTAAGCTTACCTTTGGCGCCAAAGGTACGAGGGGGCCAGGTCGTGAAAGCCAGGGGGTGGCTGTCATCTTCTCGCGACCATACTGGCGGTTCGACTTCGCCCGAATGCAGGCTGGAAGCTTCGGGAACCTTGCCCTCTTGCGATTCCCTGGATTCTGACGATAGTTCAGCGAGTTTGTGTTAGCTTCATTTCGAAAGTGTTTTGAAAGCCTGACGGTCTAGTGCGTGGCCCGTGGTTGGTTTACATGCAGGCTGGGAGGTAAAACCATCGCCTGCCGAGAAACTCAACTTCTCAGTCCATGCTTGAGAAAAACGTAATTCTCTCCTTGATCTGGTCCTTCATCCAAGAACCCACGTTATGGAGAGAAGGGGGGAAAAGTGAGAATTAAGGTCAGCATAGTTAGACTAGTCCGCGGCTCTGCAGCAAAGTTTTCAGTAAACGCAATACAAGGCAATCTTGCATCACGAGCCACATAGGCAAAACCGACGTCAGTTTTCATGTCGTCCTTGATATCATATACTGCCATGGTACGCCAAGACTGGCGCTCTCTCACTTGGATGCCAGCGAAACGTCCTGACAGCTGGCGTGGAGAACGACGGAGAATCCTTTCAGACGGCAGTGGTAAAGAGCATCTCGTAGCGAACCGTGGTGCACCACAGCCCACTCAGATGACAAGATCGGGTGCTCTGGGCAACCTCATGCGTAGAAATGTTGACAGTTTGGATGGGCAAAGCGGCAGTCGCTCACGGACGTCCAGCGGCAATCAGCGGCGGCCAGCCGCCAGTGGATATGCATGGCGGACGAATCTGGTGCATGAAATGGCGCGGGTAAGGTGGGCTGCCAAGCTGCCTATTTCCCCAGCGGCGATCTCCCAGAGGGTCGGGAGTTATCCACAAGGATGGACGTCCAGCGGGTATCGTTTCATGCGCCTCTCATTCCACAGGGCCAGCTGATAGTCGTGGAGAGCAAGTTACTTGTTCATGGGGCTGGCACGCTGGCTTTGCTGGATCAACGGGCTGGTTACTCATTCAAAAGTTAGGGCTACCATCGTCTGAAGAGACCAGACTGAATCATGCCTAGGTGGCGTATCAGAAAACAAGACGTTATTGAGGCGGATATGCAGGTACGATGGCTCAGCCAATGGCAGTTCCACGTCGTTTTGACTTGTGATTTCCGTGCCGTCTCCTTGATAGTCCGTTGAGCGAGATTACGCCGCTGTCGCAGGCAAGGTTGCTTGGTTTGCTGGGAATATCATGCACTTTTTGTACGCCTCGGCAGTGTCAACTTGGCAAACGCGGCCTGGTCCTTTGAAGCGCGGGAGATCAAATTGGATGTTTCCTTGGGTTCCCACTGCAACAAGAAGCTTCCTGCGTTGGCGATCTGTGTGCAGATCTTTGAGACTCGCAACGTGCAGGAACCGCTGGTACGAGACTCAAGTCTGTGGCGCAGGTTATGTGACGATGCTGCAGAACCTGAAGAAGAGCTGTTGCAAATGGCTCTTGGCACGGTCCTATTTTTGGTCTCCCAAAGTCTTGGCCAGAACTCTAGAAAGCGTTGATCCTGCAGTCTTGACTCTCGAATCTCTTGACTAAGTGACCGGTATGGATAAACAGGCAGAAGATAAACTTTCCAGACTGGAGCTGCGAGCCAGGAGGTCAGAATCTGGATATACGATGCGTGGGTCACATGCCTTAGTATTACGGAACAGGCTCAATCGGGATATGGCGAGAGGACAGAGAGATGAGGTGACGAATACTTTGCCAAAGTCAGCACCGTCCGAGTCGTGTTGATGGCCTCATGGAGGGGGGGTTCGGTGACCGAGGGCGCGTCCGAGCATCGAAGGGGGGCACCTTGGCTTACATAATGCCCTTACGTAATGTACTTACATAATGCACTCATACAAGTCATTGCGCTGTCCGGTCATTCCGAGCGGGAAAACCTGCGGCCGGCAACAAGTCGGGACTTGCTGATGAGATTGGCCGGAGATCATCCAGAACGCCCCAGCTGACATAAGCCGGAGAAGCGGGCAGCGAATGGAGGCACGTACACATGCCTCTCCACCAGGGCAGCGGGTTTTCCCCCCGCGCCCCCCGGTGGACCGGCACCTGTTCCCCGCGCCTCTCCCCCTTCTCTCTCGTGCTTCCGTGGGATCCTCCGTGCCCCTCACTTCTCACCGGTTTTGTAGCTGCATCACCAGCCGCTTGGTGTGCAGCATCCCGTGCTACCACTGCTTAATCACTTCATCTTGCGGTACATTACCTTAAGCGAATGCCTTGTCAATAACTGAGAATTGAGGGGTATTGATGTCTGCCGATATGACTAACACTGCGTACAAGGGGGAGAAAACGTTCCATACCCCAATTCTACTCTCCGTACACGTCATGACTTTTGGCTCCCGGGTCCTTATCAAAATGAGCTGCCTCTCTTGGCTGGATACGCCATCATTCCGCGTTGACTAAAGCTACGCGATCCCGGCCGTTTCTTATCACTCTCGCCGGGCTCCGGGGCCGTGCCGGCAGACTACTCTACGCGATGCACCTCTGCATACACGCAGAGATATCTTGGCTTGGACAGCTGTGTTTATAATGAAAGCAACCCCGAGTTGGCTGATCCGAGAGACGCTTCGTGATTAAGGCGACAAATTTGAAGTCCAATTTTCGCGAGACTTTATCTCGCTCAGTCTTGCATAATGGCAACCTATTGCCCAGTGATAGTCTTCGCTCTGATCTGGCTGAGGATCTTTGGCATCGCAACCTGCTTGACGACGGGTA